TTTGGTGTCTCCCACCTCAAGTGGAAGAATCAAACCCCTTTATTTCTTCCTGCTGAATAAAATACCTGCTGTGCATTTGGAAGCCATTGCTGTTAGGATTTCCTTTCCTCTTCCCCAGAGGAGGAATTTCTTTCTCCTTCCCAAATTCTCCAGATCTGCATTTGCACAGAACCTCTGTTCAAAATGATTATTCCATGTTTTGGGTGCTTTTAAGTGATTTCCCTGCACTACATCTCGGTTCTGCTGGAATATTTTGGGGTCAGCTCTTTAGCTGGGATGTTTCCTGGCCATATTTCATCGTTTAACCAAGGATTGAGTGGGGAAAGGTTTTGACATTGAGGAGTGTCATGGGGAGGACTTTGAGGTGGAAGAACCGAACCCATTTAATTCTTCAACACACTTTGGTGTCTCCCACCTCAAGTGGAAGAATCAAACCCCTTTATTTCTTCCTGCTGAATAAAATACCTGCTGTGCATTTGGAAGCCATTGCTGTTAGGATTTCCTTTCCTCTTCCCCAGAGGAGGAATTTCTTTCCCCTTCCCAAATTCTCCAGATCTGCATTTGCACAGAACCTCTGTTCAAAATGATTATTCCATGTTTTGGGTGCTTTTAAGTGATTTTCCTGCACTTCATCTCAGTTCTGCTGGAATATTTTGGGGTCAGCTCTTTAGCTGGGATGTTTCCTGGCCATATTTCATCGTTTAACCAAGGATTGAGTGGGGAAAGGTTTTGACATTGAGGAGTGTCATGGGGAGGACTTTGAGGTGGAAGAACCGAACCCATTTAATTCTTCAACACACTTTGGTGTCTCCCACCTCAAGTGGAAGAATCAAACCCATTTATTTCTTCCTGCTGAATAAAATACCTGCTGTGCATTTGGAAGCCATTGCTGTTAGGATTTCCTTTCCTCTTCCCCAGAGGAGGAATTTCTTTCTCCTTCCCAAATTCTCCAGATCTGCATTTGCACAGAACCTCTGTTCAAAATGATTATTCCATGTTTTGGGTGCTTTTAAGTGATTTCCCTGCACTACATCTCGGTTCTGCTGGAATATTTTGGGGTCAGCTCTTTAGCTGGGATGTTTCCTGGCCATATTTCATCGTTTAACCAAGGATTGAGTGGGGAAGAGTTTTCCTTGGGCCCTGACATTGAGGAGTGTCATGGGGAGGGCTTTGAGGTTGAAGAATTGAATCTATTTAATTCTTCAACACACTTTGGTGTCTCCCACCTCAAGTGGAAGAATCAAACCCATTTATTTCTTCCTGCTGTGCATTTGGAAGTCATTGCTGTAAGGATTTTCTTTCCTCTTCCCCTGAATTCTCCAGACCTGCCTTTGCACAGAACCTCAAAATGGTTATTCCATGTTGCTGGGTGCTTTTAAATGATTTTCCTGCGCCTCATCTCAGAAGCCAAGAGGAACTGGGTGCCCCAGGGGACCAGCAATGCTGCACAAATCTCCTGAACCCATTTTGCATCACCAGAAACGGTTACTCAGTGATACCATCCAGTAAATTCTGAAAAATAAGTCATCTTCTTACTTTTTCCTCTTTTCTGGTTCATCTGAGTCATAATTTTTTTTTTTCTACAATGCTGCAGCCAACATTTGCTGCCCAGCGTGAGGAAATGTGAGCACCTAAGCCATAATTTGTCACCTAATTAAGTGACCTGATTTTCTCAGGAGCAGGATGTGTTTTCCAGCTCCCAGTGCACTCAGCAGTTGTGGAAATCAGGCCACTTTTGCATGGCTGGGACCAGTTTTGAGGAACTCAGCTTTCTAAAAAAGCTGATTTTGGCCTGGGAGATGGAGGATGGGTCCTCTCCAGGGTGGGATTTTCAGAGACTTATCAGCTATCAGCATCATTCATTGCACTGAATTAAAAAATACAAGGGAAATAAAAATACAAAATAAGGGAATATAAAAATAAAAATACAATGCAAGAAAAAAAAAAAAAAAAAAAACCAAAGAAATCACTCAGTTGCAGGTCCTGGGATAAAAATACCCTCTGGCTTTGTTTGCTTTATGCAGCATTTCCTCCTCACACTGAAAATTAAATTGAAATTGGAAAGGGAGTTGGTTGTGCCTGTGGGTGATGGAGGCAGCTCTGGAAATCGCAGGTGAACAAAGCTGCGCCTCCAGCCTGGTGTTTTCTCTGCCTCCCTTTGTTTCAATCCCAGTTAATCCCGGCAGAGCTCCTCTGTGTGGTTTGTTCCAGGGAATCGTCAGGTCATGAAGGAAAAGAGTCCCTGAGGGTGGTGGTGGAACCTGGACAGATCCTCCAGAGCTCTGGGCTGGGATCTGGGCACAGGAAATCCCAGAAATTGCTCATTGCAGAGCCAGAGCTGCTCTGGGAGGGCAGGATCACTGCCACCATTCAGGGGACAGCTCTGCACGGTCACATCTCCCTGTTAGAGCGCAGAAACAACCCAGACAGGAGGGGAGGGAGCTGAGCAAGGGCAGCACAACAAATGGTGGAAGCAGGGCAGGAGGAATCCTCAGGCATTGCTCCCAGAGAGGTGTCTTATCTGTTAGAGAAGTCCCCTTATCTGCGAGAGAAGTCCCCCTTATCTTTCAGAGAGGTCCTCCTTATATTTTGGAGAGTTCCCCCTTATCTTTTTGAGAGGTCCCCCTTGTCTTTTAGAGAGGTCCCCCCTTATCTTTTAGAGAGGGCCTCCTTATCTTTTAGACAGGTTCCCTCCTATATTTTAGAGAGATCCCCCCTGTCTTATAGAGAGGTCCCCCCTTATCTTTTAGAGAGGTGTTCCTTATTTTTTAGAGAAGTTTGCCCTATCTTTTAGAGTTTCCCCTTATCCTTCAGAGAGTTTTCCCTTATCTTTTTGAGATGCCCCCCTTCTCTTTTGGAGAGTTCCCCCTCTATCTTCTAGAGAGGTCCCCCCTATTTTTTAGAGAATTCCCCCCTTATCTTTTAGAGATTCCCCCCTCTCTTTTTGAGAGTTCCCCCTTCTCCTTTAGAGAGTTCCCCTTTATCTTTCAGAGGGGCCCCCCCTATCTTTTAAAGAGGTGCCCCATATCTTTTAGAGAGGTCCCCCTGTATTTTAGAGAGATTCTCCTTATCTTTTAGAGAGTTCCCCCTTATCCTTCAGAGAAGTCCTCCCTGTCTTTTAGAGAGTTCCCCCCTTATCTTTTAAAGAGTTCCCCCTTCTCTTTTAGAGAGATCCCCCCTTATCCTTCAGAGAGTTCCCCCTTATCTTGTAGAGAGTTCCCCCTTATCTTTTATACAGGTCCCCCCCTATCTTTTAGAGAGTTCCCCGCTATCTTTTAGAGAGTTCTCCCCTCTGTTTTAGAGAGCCCCCCCCATCTTTTAGAGAGTTGTCCCCTCAATCTTTTAGAAAGCTCCCCCTTATCTTTTAGAGACTTCACCCCTATTTTTTAGAGAGTTTCCCCCTTATCTTTTAGAGAGTTCCTCCCCATGTTTCAGCTCCTTTGCCTGAGCTGCTTTCCAAACCAAAGCAGTTTCTGCTTTGCATAGAACATTTTCCAGAGCAGAGCAAGGTCAGCCGGGCAGGAGCCCCAACCCACAGCGTCCACCACCCCAAACCCACCAAATCCATCTCCCAGAGGGCCCAGCCCTGCTGATCTCCAGGGAATTCTGGCAGCAAAACAGCTTGGGGAGGAAGTGTTTTCATCATCACACATTTGCAACACAGCCCTTTTAGTTTTTCTCTTCTTTTTTTTTTTTTTTTTTTTTTTGGTTGTTTTTTATCATTATCAGCACTATCAGCATTATCTCTCTGCCTTCCTCTTACCCTCCAAACGAACCAAGCTGTGTGTGCTCAAGGGGTGGGGAGGGCTGAGCACAGCTGAGTCAACAGCACATGCCTGGGGCTGGGGGTGACGCTCAGGGGTGTCCTGGGGGTGTCAGGGCATTGGGGAAGGCAGCGCTGCAGGCAGGAGGGGTGACAAAGCACAGCCACAATGACAGAAGGGGTGACACGAGCACAGCCACAAATCCTGGAGGCTCCCTGACGCCAAACCCACAGGCTGGAGCCTGGATCTGCTCCCTTTCCCTTGGGGAAATGGGGAATTCTGCACCCTCCCCAGCTGAGCTCCTGGCTCTGCCTCATCACCCTGAAATTTCTGTCGTTTTCTGCTTTTTTCACTCATAATTCTTGCTCCATTTGGGTTCTGGGTGGATCCCTCCCTTTGGCTGTCCCTGGTGCCACAGCTGCTGTCCCGTGCTGGTGTCGAGCACGTGGAAAACACAATTCCATGTTTAAATCTGTGATTTGTACTGGTCTGCTCAGAAAACTCACTGAACTGGGTGCTCCCAGCTGGAGGGAAAAGGGATTTGGAGGCATCCTGGAGGGAAAGAAGCAGAAGAGCTTTTTGGACTAAAGGGAACTTTTCTAAGCTGGAAAAATCTCTGTTTGTGCCCTCTCGTGGCTGTTGAATTTTTTTTCTCCTCACTGCAACTCTTGCGCTTTCAGACCCAAACTTTTAGGGTTTCATGCTGAAATTGCCAGCAAAGAGACCATTAAATGCTGGTGTTTCTCTACTAATTGCTACTTTTTAGGAACATTTCTAATTTGATTTACAGTTGTCAGTGAAGGGCTGCATTGTTCTGCACAGAATTCTGTCTGAGCTTCATTTTTGTGAGTGAGCTTGTGGGGCAGGCATTGCATGTCTCCAGAATGGAATATTATTACAATGCAGATAGATTTTTTATAGGTTTATATTTAGATTTATATATGGATTTATATTTAGATAAATAAAACATAGTCCCTTAAAAGAAACCCCAATTCTTCCATGCTTCTGTGCATGGAAGAAAAAGTGGGGAAGTGGGAAAACCCAGAGGCTCATAATTCATATTTTGTGCTGGTTGCCTGACTTTGCCCCTCAGTTTATTGGGATTTCACAGGTGGCACATCCAAAAAATAACCCTCAGGGGTTGGAGGATTGGAAAGAGCATCTCACAAATGTCCAAACACACAGTAATGGACCCAGCAGCACTGAAATTCTCTTTTTATTTTGCTCTCTCTGCAGACAAAAAGCGTTGGCATCGACAGGAGGAAGGAGTGTTCAAGCAGCATGCGACTGGTTGGTATGAAGTAGTAAATGTTCAAAAGTAGCAGAAATGGTGAATTTAGGGTTTAACCATTAGAATGTGGGATGTTTAAACAGGGGTGTTCTCTGAAAAGCACCTGCAAATAAAAACATCCTTTTTATGTGTTACTGAGGTGCTGTTTAAGTGCTGGAAATGAGCCTGGTCTGAGACGGTTTGATCTGCAGCAAATGGGTTATAATAATGCTCTTTTTTTTTGTTTTTTTTAATGACTAAGCAGAGGTAACTGAGCCAGCAGAGGATTGGGGCAGTTTCTGTAATTGCCTGTCACATTTTAGTCCCCAGGGTTTTGGCCAAAGTCCTTGAATATGTGGGAATGAGAGCTTTGTTCAGAGGGACCATCATTAGGCAGGGCCCTGCAGGGAGAGTGGGCTCTGTTAAATCCCTTTGGTGCCCTTAACAGGAGGCATTGGGGGAATAAATAAATTCCCAAACAGGTGGGAAAGGGGAAAAAGAAGGAACCCCCACCCTCTGCAGCTGATTCCTGTGCTCTCCTCCCTGTGCTTTGCGCCCTGAAAGGCACAAAAGGCAGAAGCAGTGACCTGGCTTAGATCCTCAGAGCATCAGGCTGAAAGTAAAACCCAATTTTCTGTGTTACTGAGCGGTGCTAATGGGCTGCAAGCGAGGCAGAGTAGCTCTGCCTGACCTGCCAGAGCTGCATTTTCCCATGGAGGGACAGTGAATGGCAGCACAGGGGGAGCTGGTTTGGTTGGGGGAAGAAAATCCGTGATTATCTCTCAGAATCTCTGCTGGTCACAGTGACTCTGAGATACGTACAAGCTTCTTTTTCCCAGCCCAGCAGTCGAAGGAGGAGTCAGGATTTTTCAGTTCTCGTTCTCAAGGTTGTTTATTGTTTCTTATCTATAAAATTCTTTCTCTGACCCACCGAGGTCTGGCTGGCAGGTCAGGTTGAGGCACAGTGATGTTATCTTTTATACTAAAAACTACGTGCTCAATATTTACAATTACTTCCCAATACCCATCACCTGTGTTAGACAGTGAGCTTCTACCTTAAACCAATCCCAAAGTGCCACCATCACAGCAGAAGATGGAGGCCAAGAAGAAGAAGGAGGAAGAAGGACAAGGCACGCCCAAATTCCTCCATCTTGGTCAGGCCATGAAGGAAAAGAGTCCCTGAGGGTGGTGGTGGAACCTGGACAGATCCTCCAGAGCTCTGGGCTGGGATCTGGGCAGAGGAAATCCCAGAAACTGCTCATTGCAGAGCCAGAGCTGCTCTGGGAGGGCAGGATCACTGCCACACCTCAGGGGACAGCTCTGCAGGGTCACATCTCCCTGTTAGAGCGCAGAAACAACCCAGACAGAAAAATCTATTTTTCACCCCATGACAAACTAACTATTATTCCACTTAAACTCTCTTGACTGGTAATTCTCCATATAAAGGTTGGTAATTTTTTCCATGGGTATAAACCAAAGGCACAGCGGTTTTGGGCTCTGTGCTGAGGACTCTGAGCCCCCTGGGCAGGGCCTCGAGCCCTCCAGGGCAGCCAGAGGAATTTCCTGGGTTCCAGTGATTATTTATTGATTCTGGAGCGCTTTCTGCCCGCCAGGCTCTTCTCCCACGTGGGTGACCCGTTCCTGGACGACTCGCTGCCCCGCGAGTACGTGCTGTACCTGCGCCCCACCGGGCCCCTGGCGCAGAAGCTCTCCGAGTTCTGGCAGCAGTCCAAGCAGATCTGTGGCAAGAACAAAGCCCACAACATCTTCCCCCACATCACCCTCTGCCAGTTCTTCATGGTAAGGCACAGCTCCTCTCCCCTCTCTCCCTCAGCCATTCCTTGCCGGGCTCGGCCTGGAGATTTCATCCTGGTTTAGGGGGCGCTGGAGGGATTTTGTTGGAGGCTGGAGGAGGGAATTGTTTTTTTAAGCTGTTGTTTTCAGGGAAGAGCAGCAGCAGAAGACACAATTCTCATCCTCTGCAGTGATCCTCAGTGTGAGAATGGGTGGGGAGAGCTTGGGGAGGTTACTTGGGGATAGCTGATCCTGCTTTGAGGACAAGGGAGGGGCCGAGGATTTCTAAACATAGATTTCTCTTTTGTTGCTGGTTTTTTTTTTTGTTTTCCATGCCCCTGTGCTGTTTCTCACTGCACGAGGGGAAAGGTAGGCCACTGCCACCCACCCTCATCCCCTCCTGTCCTGCTTCCTTGGCAGTGTGAGGACAGCAAGGTGGACGCCCTCACGGAAGCCCTGCAGGCCACGGTGATGCGCTGGAAATGCAAATTCCCCGCGCCCCTGCCCCTGGAGCTCTACACATCCTCCAACTTCATCGGGCTCTTCGTCAAGGAGGACAGTGCTGAGGTGCTCAAGAAGTTTGCTGCAGACTTCGCTGCAGAGGCGGCTTCCAAAGCAGGTGAGGAAAAAACAAAGCTTGGATGCCATGAGAGCACAGCCTGGGCATCGTCAGAAAAAACAAAGTTTGGTGTCATGAAAAAGCCCAGTTTGGGCATTGGTAGAAAACCAAAAGTTTGATGCCATGAGAGCCCAGTTTGGGAATTGTCAGAAAAACAAAATTTGGTGTCCTGAAGGAGCCCAGCCTGGGCATTGTCAGAAAAACAAAACTTTGAAGCCATGAAGGAGCCCAGTTTGGGCATTGATAAAAAATCAAAACTTTGGTGTCATGAAGTATATCACCCTGGGCATTGTCAGAAAACCAAAGTTTGGATGCCAAAAGAGCTCAGTCTGGGCATTGTCAGAAAAACCAAAATTTTGGTGTCATGAAGGGCATTAGAAAACCAAAACTTTGATGCTGTGAAGGAACCCAGTTTGGGCATTGTCAGAAAACCAAAGTTTGGATGCCAAAAGAGCTCAGCTTGGGCATTGATAGAAAACCAAAACTTTGAAGCCATGAAGAGCATTAGAAAACCAAAACTTTGATGCTATGAAGGATCCCATTTTGGGCAGTGTCAGAAAAACCAAAATTTTGGTGTCATGAAGAAGCAAAGCAGCTTCCAAAGCTCACAGTTTGTGCCTTTTCAGAACCCCAAAGCTCTGCTGCCACCAAGAAGCAAAGCTCGAAAGCAAATCCCTGATTTTTAAGTGAAAACTCAAACACCCCAGCAGGAGCTTTGCCTTTTCACCTGGGGCACGTCTCACGCTGAGTTTGCAGCGCTGTTTTGGAGGGGAAGCTGACATTTGGTGGTTCTTTACCCTTTCACAGCTGCTCTGAGCCGTTTCCTGCCCCTCTCGCCGCCTCCAGCCACCACCGCAGAACTTTCCTCGGCCATTTCAAGGCCGTGGTTGTTTTTTCACTGCATTTCTGGGGTGTGAGGAGGGCTCTGGGAGAAGACCCCAGGTTGGTTGGTTGGTTGCCCTTTCGAACCTCAGAGCTCACAGGTGCTCCATGATCCTCTCCTGCTTCTGGAGGGGGAATAACCAGAACCTCGTCCTCTCCACTGCTGAACAACCTCTGAATATCCTCCAGTCACCCCCAAACTGGGAAATCACAACACCCTGGGAGCACTGGGACATCTCCCTGGATAATCCTCCCACCTTCCGCCACTGGTTTAGTCCTTCCCCATTTAATCCCAGGTTTCCCGTGCTGCTTAAATGCACAACTGGTTTAGTTCTTCCCCATTTAATCCCAAATTTATCTTGAAGTTTAAATTCACAACTGGTTTAGTCCTTCCCCATTAAATCCCAAATTTATCCTGGAGTTTAATGCACAACTGGTTTAGTCCTTCCCCATTAAATCCCAGGTTTATCCTGGAGTTTAAATGCACAACTGGTTTAGTCCTTCCCCATTTAATCCCAAATTTATCTTGGAGTTTAAATTCACAACTGGTTTAGTCCTTCCCCATTAAATCCCAAATTTATCCTGGAGTTTAATGCACAACTGGTTTAGTCCTTCCCCATTTAATCCCAGGTTTATCCTGGAGTTTAATGCACAACTGGTTTAGTTCTTCCCCATTTAATCCCAAATTTATCTTGGAGTTTAAATTCACAACTGGTTTAGTCCTTCCCCATTAAATCCCAAATTTATCCTGGAGTTTAATGCACAACTGGTTTAGTCCTTCCCCATTAAATCCCAGGTTTATCCTGGAGTTTAAATGCACAACTGGTTTAGTCCTTCCCCATTTAATCCCAAATTTATCTTGGAGTTTAAATTCACAACTGATTTAGTCCTTCCCCATTAAATCCCAAATTTATCCTGGAGTTTAATGCACAACTGGTTTAGTTCTTCCCCATTTAATCCCAAATTTATCTTGGAGTTTAAATTCACAACTGGTTTAGTCCTTCCCCATTAAATCCCAAATTTATCTTGGGGTTTAAATTCACAACTGGTTTAGTCCTTCCCCATTTAATCCCAGGTTTATCCTGGAGTTTAATGCACAACTGGTTTAGTCCTTCCCCATTTAATCCCAGTTTTATCGTGGAGTTTATACATACAGCTGGTTTAGTCCTTCCCCATTTAATCCCAAATTTATCCTGGAATTTATACGCACAACTGGTTGAGTCCTTCCCCATTTAATCCCAAGTTTATCGTGGAGCTCAAGTGCACCAAAATGCAGCAAATTCTGCATTCCTGGGCTGCTCCCATGCTGGGCAGGCACCCAGAGCCCTGCAGGGATGCTGAGTCTGTCCCTGCTCCAGAACAGGGAGCCAGAAGGGTCCAGAACCTCTGGAATGTGTTGCTTTCACCTGATCTAGAACATCCCTTCCCTTTAGAAGAGGAATTTTATCTTTAAAAAGGTGATTTTGGAAGGCAGATATTGGGTGGGTACAAGAACACTACAGCTAGTGAGAGCGGGATCAGTGTTTCCCTCCAGCACAGCCAAAAATGAGATTTTTATCCAAAAAAAACCCCACTGACCCAGAATAAAGAAGCATTGGTGGCTTCCAACAATCTTCTGCCCCGAGACTGCTCCAATTCCGGCCAAATTGGGGTTTTTAGGGGAAGGCAATTGGTGCATTGCAGCCACAGCTTGGTCGGGTTATCACATTAAAGTCTCTGGGGTTTTTTGAATATATTTTTAATTGCTGGTGAAAAACAACAACAAAAAAGATAGATGAGCTTGCAAAGCTACCCTGGCTGGCAATTGGAGCCAAGCCTCTGAATAGCTGCAATTGTGACTGAATAATCACTCAAATCTAATTGCAATTTTTGCTTGAATAAGCATGAATAAATTACGTGCAAACAATGTATCCTGTGATTTCCACATCGACTGGAAGAGCCCAAACATTTCACATCTTTTCACCTGGAATGATCCCCTGATGCAGATCCTTTTTTTTCTGCAGGATCATTCTGAATCATTATTACATTTCCACATTTTGGGAATACCTCACCCTCAGTGGCTAAACTGATAATCCAACCAATGTCCAGGGAAAAGATTTCATCAACTTGCACAAGCCTGCAAATTCCATGGATTTGTAATTCAGTGCAGCAGAGAGAACAATGGAGGGAGAGTGAAAATCATGCTTTTTAACCTGATTATTTTGGAAAGATCTTCAGCTGCTCATGAAAACCTACTTGATTTCCTACCTAGGAAAAAATCTCTTTTTTTTTGGCAGGACATCCTGCATGTCCAGAGCTGCAATAAGGATTGTCACATCTCTGATAATTTTCAATATTAGAGACCTCCTGTGGATGCTGGCAGCCTGGTCAGAGAGAAAGTCAAATAAACTTTCAGAGAGAAAGATAAATTTTCAGAGAGAAAGTCAGATAAACTTTCCCAGGCATTTTTCAGGGGGAGGTTTGAGAAATCTCAGAGAAATAATCAAAATAATCTTTAATCTGTGCAGCTCCTGTTTTGAGCTTGTTGTTTACTCATTTGATGTTTACAAGAAGGGTGTTGTTCCTAATTAGCCACTGAGGTGAGGGGTGTTGATTGAGGACCCACCAGGTCCAGCTTTCTCAGAGCAGTCTATAAAACAATGTGATGTCTAATAAAACTTTGCTGTTGCCTTCTGAGAAGACCTCGGGGTCTGTGTTGCTTTGTTCAGCTGTCCCCAATATGATAGCAACAGCCTCACACTCCAAATTTCCAGCTGAACTCCATCTTGTCCCACTTGAGCATCTTTGCCCGTCCAGCCCTGTTAGAGGCCACAGTCAACAACCTGGCACAAAGGGATTTTCAACCCTCATCTCTGCGGGACTCCAGGCAGCTCTTCCAAATGCAGTTTATTGTATCCAAAATGCAGTTTATTTTATCCAAAATGCAGTTTATTGCATCCAAAATGCAGTTTATTGTACCCGAAATGCAGTTTATTACATCCAAGATGTTACAGGAGCCCAGGGTTGTGGGTGACAGAGCTGTGCCTACAGCTGTCAGCTCCAGCTGCAGGCAGGCCTGGAGACCCCTTGGTTTTGGTTACAAGGCATTCTATACTTTTCTTTTGGTTACAATGCATTTTATACTTTTCTTTTGGTTAATTGCATTATATACTTTGCTGAGCATTTTAACACAGCAGAACCAATCTATACCTTAACTTTTATCTCTAGTCTATCATAACTGCTGTAATTACCATATTCATGTTTGTGTTCTCCAGTCACTAAAAGTCAGTGCATTACAGTTGAAGCTAGAAGTTGGTTTTCAGTTTTCTTGCAGTGGAAAATTCTGAGACCTTTTTTTCTACTTGCAACTTTGCTGCCTTGTTTGCCTGTGCTCTCTTTCTGCTTGGTAAAAAACATCTTCTTGTTTGGGGTGGGTTTATCCTTTGCTCTAAGCCATAAAATCCCCTTCTAACTAACACACCCTTTGCCTCCTTGGTCGTCCAGCGAGACTGGCTCAGCAATTCTTTCCTTCTATATCAAAACTTGCTTTCATTTCTATTTCTTCTTCTGGTTCTATATTCAAAAATCTTTCTGCTAAGCATAGATACCTTTCTTGCCAAACTTTCATCCTTCCCAACACCTCTCCCCATTGCAGATGTGCACGTGGAGCCCCACAAGAAGCAGCTCCACGTGACCCTGGCCTATCACTTCCAGAGCAGCCACCTGCCCACGCTGGAGAAGCTGGCCCAGAGCATCGACGTCAAGCTGGGCTGCGACTGGGTGGCCGCCATCTTCTCCCGCGACATTCGCTTCGTCAACCACGAGGTAAAGCCCGGCAGCTCCTCCCACTGAGGCGTAAACTTGGAGGAATTTAGGGGTTTTGGAGGAGCTAGGATTTTATTTAGAAATAAGCTCTATTGGAGTTGATCAATGGGTAGGCCTTGATGAAGTTAAGAGTTAGTAGTTAACTGATAATTGATTGCTTGTCAACACAATGTTGGGTTAGCTGGGTTTATAATGAAGAACACAGAAACTGATAAATGGCTTTTAGGAACATGAGACAATTGTGGCCTCCTCTGTTCTGAAACCAACTGAAGGTGGGAATGGGAGTTCTACCAAGGGTTCATTTGTCACATTTGCATTGAAAAAGGTAGAAAGGTCAGAAGGAGGAAAACTTCATTTACTTCCTCATTTTGGGACCCCTCCCCATGAAAGGGACCACCGACCCATTTCAAGGAACAAAGTGCGCATGCTTAATGGCTTTTGAACTTATTACCATGCTTAATAGCTTTTGAACTAATTACCATATGAAGTGGGGAATGGGATGTACCAAAGTCATGAATATGTATTTGTACTTTGGGTGTTCAATACTTGTATAGATAAAATGACTCTGTAATCACCTGCAAATTGTGGTGTGTATTTGGGAGTTATCCCACAATAAACACACACTTTCTAACTCTAAACTGTTAGAGAGTTTTTGGATATTGGTACTAGATCAATATCCATATTGGGAATGGGCTGAACCAAAGTCATGAATGTGCATTTGTATTTTGGGTATTCAGTACTTGTACAGTTAAAAGGGCTCTGTAATCACCTGTAAATTGTGGTGTATTTGGGAGCTATCCCACAATTAACATACACTTTGTAACTCTAAACTGTTAGTGAGTTTTTGTCCATCACAGTTGGATATCGGTACTAGATCAATATCCATATTTTAATAAATCATCACCCCAAAAAATCGCCCCTCTGCTGAAGGGTGGCATTGCAGCAGCTTTACACAACTTTTCCAGGTTTTGTCCTGGGAAAGGCTGTGAGATCAGAGAAAAGAATGAGAAACGATTCTTATCTCCACTTGCTGCACCAGGTGTTGCGCACACGTGGAATGTGTTATGGGAATTTGTTCACCAAAGAGTGGTTTCTTAATTAGCCAATGGTGATGGTGTTTTAACTAAAGGACCAGTCAATTCCACATGTAGCAAACTAGAATATCACAGAATCACAGAATTTCTAGGTTGGAAGAGACCTTTAAGATCATCGAGTCCAACCCATGTTCTAACACCTCAACCAGATCATGGCACCAGTTGAGGTGCAAATATATATGTAAATATATATAAAAGACCAATGGGTTTGTTAATAAAGATTATTATTTATTGGAGTCTATGCTAATGATTACCCAGCTAGGGGCCTGTTTGATGTGACATTAACAACACTTTGTGCTTTTTCTCCCCCAGACTCTGCAAGTGATCTACCCCTACACCCCCCAGAACGACGACGAGCTGGAGCTGGTCCCGGGGGATTTCATTTTCATGTCCCCAGTGGAGCAGAGCAGCACGAGCGAGGGCTGGATTTATGGCATTTCCCTGGCCACTGGCTGCTCGGGGCTGCTGCCTGAGAACTACATCACCAAGGCGGATGAATGTGGCACCTGGGTGTTCCATGGGTAGGTCAGGCTGCTGCTCTCCTTTCCATGGCTGAAAAATGGGCTCAGGGGTGGCTTGGGAGGTCCCTGGAACAGAGTTAAAGAAATAAAGCAGGGATTTATTAAAAGGGTTTTAAAAATACTCCTTGGGCTGTACAAGACCCTGGCCAAGGCTACACGCAAGATGGACCCCAAGTCATGAGTTTTCACAATTTTAGAAGTTTTGGTCCATTTCCATATTGGGTTAATTGTCCAATTCCAGCTCCAGGTGATGCAGTCCCAGCCTCCCAGTTTGCTCTCTGTTGTTCAGTTTTCTGTTGTTTGTTGCTCCATTCCCTGTCATTTGCAATTTTTGGGGCTGAAACTGCAGCGGTGTCCTTGGTTTTGGGGCTGGAAAAGGATTGTTCTGGATTGTTCAAGGATTGCTCAAGAACTGCTCTGTGAGCTGTGAGGAGAACTTGCTGACACTTTACATAAAGTTCAGAGTCACGCACAAAGGCAGAATCCAGAAAATATGTGGGTTTTATATTTTCCAGAATCTGGAAAATATAAACTTATAATATAAATATAATATAATATAATATAATATAATATAATATAATACAATATAATATAATATAATGCAATGCAATGCAATACAATACAATACAATACAATACAATACAATATAATATAATATAATATAATATAATATAATATAATTATACTCAAACTCAAGGCATCAGCAGCAGCTGGGATTTCAGCTGGGGCAGCAAGCAGGGATGCTGAGAAGGGCACTGAGGGGAAGGAGCTGGCACACAGAGCCTCATCCCAGCCAAGGAGCAGCAGATGCTCTCCCTTAGCATGGGGCTGGAGGACAAGGTGAATTTTGCAGATTTTTGCAGCAGCTCTTTGTGGCTGATGGAGCTGCAGCAGATGGCTGCTGAAAGCACTGCTGTGCAGGCACCTCTGGCTGGGCCTGCCATCAGCAAGGTGTAAATTTGAGAGTTAATTTGGGAAGAGACATCTTCCCCCTGCATCATTCCCTGCTGGGAAGGACTTTGGATCAGGAATATTCTTTAGGATATTTAGGAGGATTTTTGGGAGCTTGCTGTTGGCTTCAGTGAGAATGCAGCCCTCATCTTTTAAATAAAGTTATGCCTCTTGATTTTGGTGGGAATTCATGAAACAGAACGCTGATCCTGAAATCATTCACCCCTCATTTATCCCTGCCAAAGCAGGGGAGACAAGGCACGATCTGGAAGGCAGGAGATGGAATTTTTCCCCAAAAAACCAGAATTTTGGGGAAAAACCTCCAAACAATGACCTGTCCTTAGGAGATGACTCAGCTGGAGCAGCCTCAGCAGTTTGTGTTTTCCAGCAGCACTGGGGACAGGCTGGTGGCTCTTCTCCAGCCCACTGAGAGTTTGCCTCTGCCTCATCACCATTCCCAGCAAATCCTGCCTCTGTAAATAGATGGTGAAGCCTTTGTGGCCTTTATTAAAAGAGAAAGAAAGGCTCAGAAATTGTGTGGCAGCTTCTGGGGGTAAAGGGAAGTGGAGTAACCAAAAAAATCCTAGGCATTCTCCAGACCAGTGTCCTTAAAAAATGTCATATGGGTAAAGGCAGGAAAGGGATGGAATGGGAGGAAGGGCTGACAGCTGGGAGAAATTCACTTTGTACAGAAATAGGGATGGGTCCTAAATGAGAACTGAGATTCTGTTCACATTGAGATTCTGTTCACACAAATATTCAAGTTCTGGGGTCACTGAGGATGGATCAGTGCTGACCCCAATGCTCCACCTGCATTTGGGCAACGGGGGGAACAATTCAAGAGTGCCAGCCCCTGTTGGGAGCTCAGGAATAATCCAGCAGCTCAGTGTCATCCTTGCACCCTGATTCAGCAGATAATAGATCAGGACCAACATCACAATGGGTTTTTTCCTCCTTTAAATCATACAACTCACGCAGGTGACCTATTTCTGTCCCACTGGCCGTGTCACTCGGGGCTATTTTACCAGCTGTGACACCCCTGTGACACCCCTTATCCTAACTGCTGCTATCAGGAAGCAGCTCCTGCTGCATTTAAAGCACTTAAAAGTGCCAGCTCTGGCAACTCTTTCTGTCAAAGTAAATGACCACATCCATTACCTGATAATGTTCTTTTTTTAATGACTAAGCAGAGGTAACTGAGCCAGCAGAGGGTCGAGGCAGTTTCTGTAATTGCCTGTCACATTTTAGTCCCCAGGGTTTTGGTGAAAGTCCTTGAATATGTGGGAATGAGAGCTTTGTTCAGAGGGACCATCATTAGGCAGGGCCCTGCAGGGAGAGTGGGCTCTGTTAAATCCCTTTGGTCCCCTTAACAGGAGGCACTGGGGGAATAAATAAATTCCCAAACAGGTGGGAAAGGGAATAGACAGCACTGAAAATTGCAGGTGCAATGGGGGGAGAAGCTGTTTTTGGCACAAAAACCCAGAAAACTGCCCAGGGAGAGGCCTCAGCTTCCTGCTGAAGCCACAGCTTGTGCTAGAAATGAGTGCAAATTCCCTGCAGCCATTAATTCCCAAACTTGGGATCACAAATCCATGGTCAGTGACGTGGACAGGTCCCCAGGTGATGTTAGTGAGCATCCTGTGGTCATCAGGAGGGTCCTGGCATTTTCCATGTGGACATTGCAGGGTGGGGAGAGCCTCCCAGGCTAAGTTTGGGAATTGTTCTGTGAGTTGTTCCTAAGGAAACGGCCCATGGAGATGGAACTGTCTCCTCACGTGTGTGCATCACCTGGCAAGGTGCTCTCAGGGCAGCACTAAACCCCAAATAATAATAAAATAATTAGAGCAGTAATTACCATCAGCTCCTGGAGGCTACAGAAACGTCCTGAGAGCACAAAAACCATTCCCAAAGACAATGTTTTTCTATTTTTGGCAGGTCCTACTCCATCCTGAACACCTCATCGTGCCCGTCCCTCCAAGCCTTTGCTGATGGAGCTCTGGAGAGAAGGCAGCAGGAGGACCAAGGGCCAGGAGACGCTGGGCCTCTCACCATCATCTGCCAGAACGTGCAGGTAGGGACCCACAGCCAGAAATCATTAGGGACAGCCTTCCAGGGAATGGATTTTCCTAAAAAAAAAAAAATCTTTTCACTCCCTGCAGCACAATTCACAGAGTTTTTAATGACACAACCCTGTCCCCAAACTGCCTCTTCAGCTGGGGTGGCAGGACCCTATCCTCTGCCCCCCTCAGCAGCTTTATAGCACATAAAATAAATGCAAATCCACCAGGATTATATGGATAGATAAATGATTTTATGTATAGATAAACGTAGCGGGATTATAAATTCCCAAAGAGCCCCACAAACCCATCAAGGCAATAAATCCTGCAGCTTTCCTTGGGGTGTTTGCACAAGGGCAAAGCAAAAAACAAAAAAAACCCAAATCCTATGGTTTTCTCAGGTGTCTCTCCACTCTGCTGAAAGTCAAACCTGCTGCTGCTTTCATGCTTGGGGAGGCTGGACATTTAGAGGAATAAAATAGGTATTTACTAAAAGGATATAATTATTTATTTTTTAAAGGACACAGCTTGGGCTGTACAAGAGCCCAGCCAAGGCTACACCCCAGATGGACCCCATGTCACGAGTTTTCACACTTTTATAAGCTTTGGTCCATTTCCACATTACGTTTATTGTCCAGTTCCAGCTCCAGGTTCTGCAGTCCCAGCTACCCAGGTTGCTCTCTGTTGTTCAATTTTCTGTTGTTTGTTGCTCAGTTCTCTGTTTGCACTTTTGGGCTGAAGCTGCAGCGGTGTCCTTGGTTCTGGGGCTGGACAAGGATTGTTCTGTGGGACTGAGCTGTGAGGAGAACTTGGTGACAATTTATATGGAGTTCAGAGCTCTATTCCAATGCAGTGCAGAATGTGGAAAATATAAAAGCTCCAACTGAAGGCATCAATTCCCTTGCAGCCTGTAGGAGTGATGGGGGTGGGATGGTTGGGATGGATGGAGACGAGAGATCTCTGCAGCCAGGGCTTGGAACTTGGGGTTCATTGCAAAGGGCCTGGGTGCAGGGCCCTGCTGGGAGCTGCCAAACACAGCTCAGAGCAGGCCTGAGAGAGGAGAGGGGGAGAGAGGATGAGAAGGTAAGAGAGCGAAGTTCCTGTTAAAATACCATAAATCTTCTTCTGTGTTGAATATTCTGATTCTCACTAACCAATCTAGTACAAGATACAAATCCTACAGCATTTCCATACAGCCTGTAAGAATCATTACATCGCCATCCTGTGTTACATTTTAAACCCTAAAAACTCCTGTTTGGGCCCCTTCTGCCAAGCTGTAGGGTCTGCTCTGACCCTTGGAGCTGTCTGCAAGCAGAGGGTGTTGTTCCATCAAAAGGGGATTACCTTCAGCTACACACACCATTGTTTTCCAGTTGTTCAGTAACTGAGGGATCTCAAAGCTTGCTTTCATTTCAGTCTCGCTTATAGATTCTACATTCTCAAAATCTTGTGCCAGACAATGATATTGATAAGGCTTTCCTGTTTCATCTCCCCCAACATCAGCCCCTGAGGATAAGCAGCCAGCCGGGCCCTCAGAAGCGCTGCCTGTTCGTGTGCAGGCATGGAGAGAGGATGGATGTGGTGTTTGGCAAGTACTGGCTGTCCCAGTGCTTCGATGCCAAAGGTGAGCCCAGGGTGTTGCATGTAGGGTAAAAACTTATTTAAAAAATGCCTTAAAATGTCATAGTTGAGATGGTCACAACACAAAGCAACACTCCATTTTCAGAAGGTTTCAAACCTGTTTTTATTACAGCATGCATGCTTTTTATGCATTCTTACAAAAGTCTTCAGTTGACACTTTACTTATTGATCAGGAAAGACAAACAAAGTGCTTTTGGAATAGAGAGTTGCAGGTTTCTCTTATTTATTCTTCTTTCTTTCTTGGTTTCTGTGTCAATGACCTTGGTAGAAAATTCTTTCAGGGGTAAACGTGGATCCTCTTATCAAGCATGGATCCTCTTCTTATCAAGCATGGATCCTCTTATCAAACATGGATCCTCCTATCAAACATGGATCCTCCTATCAAACATGGATCCTCTTATCAAACATGGATCCTCCTATCAAACATGGATCCTCTTATCAAACATGGATCCTCCTATCAAACATGGATCCTCTTATCAAACATGGATCCTCTTCTCAAACATGGATCCTCTCATCAAACATGGATCCTCTTATCAAACTCCTCTCTGGCTCACCAAAGTTGCTGTAAAACTCTCCCACATTATAAAGTCAGGCCTTGCTATTTCAGCTCAATTAACAGGTAGCCTGTTAAGTTCCCATGGAAAAGCACCATGAGAATTGGTTTACATAACAATCTGTTCTTGTCAAAAGGCAGCTTGAATCCGTGAAAATGAAGAAATCCACAAAGAAAAAGTGTAAACACCTGTGTAAAGATAGAGTCTTAGCACATACACGCACAGGCACCTTCCAACCAATGAATTGAGTGGCAAGAAAGTTAGAATTTCTTCTAATAATTTAGTTCGTTTTATTCTAACCAATTTAGAATAAAACACACTAACTTGGAAAATTGGATCAAAAATATGCTGTAACATGAAAGTGGAGCCTTTGCTGCTGGAACTTTGAGGTGTTCTGCCCACTTTATTGTTACCTGGGGGTATCCCAGGATCTCATGGAGGAAGGAGAAGTGGCCACTGTCTGGTGGAAGCTGTGGGTTTTACACAAAATTTTGATTTTTGTGCAGCCAGCAGCAGCAAGGAGGAAATGCTCCATTTGGCAATATTTGGGAATATATCACAGGAGTGATTACAGTTCCATCACCAAGGAGAAAATGCAGTCATGGTGTTGGCAGTCAGTGTTCAATGAAAACATTTGCTGCCATCAGAGAAAAATTTTGTACTGCTGGCTGTCATGAAATGGAGCCATTCACTTGTTAAATGAAAAAAACACTGCTCAGAGTGGTTTTTGGGGTATAAATTGGTGTTTTAAACCAAATGTTATGCTCTGGTTTCAGGCTACTGAATAAATTATAACTTCAGGCTGTGTTGGCCTTAGAACTGATCACAAATCTGTCCTAAAAGATTCCTCTATTCAAAACCTTGTGGTGAAAGGATGATTTCACAACTCCCTTCTTTCTAAACTCTGTATTCCAACCTCCTGTAAAAGTGAAATGTTTGTTGTGGGATAAAATGACATTCTCTTAGGGAAATCAGTCCTAAAAAATATATTTGAGAACCTTAGCAATGTTCTGTGCTGATTTTGAGCTGGTGAGAGGTGTTTAATTTAATTTTGGGAGAGTCCTGATGGATTTACATGGGGGAAAAAACAGCTCATGAGCCAGGCTTAGGCAGGACAGCACAGCTGAGGTGGTGGGAGAGGGGAAAATCAGGTGTGATGTTCCTGCCTTTGTCTGAGGGAATAATTGCAGCTGGGCACCTCTCCCTGCAGGCAGGTACATGCGCAGCAACCTGAACATGCCTCACAACTTACCTCAGAGGAGTGGTGGTTTCAGGGATTATGAAAAGGATGCTCCCATCACCGTGCTGGGCTGCACCCAGGCCAGGCTCGTGGGTAAGTGCTGCTCAGCAGGCAAAGCTTGCAGCTGGACTGGGGGGATTTGGGGGGGATTTTTGGGAAGGAATTGTTCCCATGAGTGTGGCTCACTCATGGAAGTGTCCAAGGCCAGGTTGGACAGGGTTTGGAGCAACCTGGGGTGGTGAAAAGTGTCCCTGTCCAGGGGGTTTTTTGGTTTTTCCAACCCAATCTATTCCATGGTTCCATGAAGATCTTGGCCAGGAAGCTTCGTTATCTTCCTCCCACTTCCTCCCTTTATCTTCCCCCCATCAGAGAAAGGAAAAGTTCAAGGCAGGAATAAATGGATTGGATGCCCTGAGCTAACAGGATTTAAATCTTTCAAGGATTTAAAGGAATTGTTCCCATGAGTGTGGCCCATTCATAGAAGTGTTCAAGGACAGGGTTTGGAGAAACCTGGGGTGGTGAAAAGTGTCCCTGCCCAGAGATTTTGGTTTTTTCCAACCCAAACCATTCCATGGTTCCATGAAGACCTTGCCCAGGAAGGTTTGTTTTCTTCCTCCCACTTCCTCCCATTATTTCCCCCCATCAGAGAATGGAAACGTTCAAGGAAGAAAAAATGGATTGGATGCCCTGAGCTAACAGGATTTAAATCCTTCAAGGATTTAAAGGAATTGTTTCCCACGAGTGTGGCTCATTCATGGAAGTGTCCAAGGCCAGGTTGGACAGGATTTGGAGCAACTTGGAGTGGTGAAAAGTGTCCCTGTCCAGGGGGTTTTTTGGTTTTTCCAACCCAATGTATTCCATGGTTCCATGAAGATCTTGCCCAGGAAACTTCATTATCTTCCACTTCCTCCCATTATCTTCCCCCCATCAGAGAAAGGAAACGTTCAAGGCAGGAATAAATGGATTGGATGCCCTGAGCTAACAGGATTTAAATCTTTCAAGGAGCTTTTCAAAGTCCCTTCACCTTCCCCAGCAATTTCCCTCTTCCAAAGGAAACCTCACCTCCCTCAGCTGCTGCAGCTGAGAAGGCAAAGCAGAAATGTGGGACATGGGGGGAATCAGAGCCATCAAAGGATGGTGCATTGGGAAAATTTTGTTATTATCCACCTTGTGGAGCACTGCAGCAGTGTGGCTGTCACCTCCTGCATAATCTGCTTTTTCCCCCCCAGTTTGCCACCCCAGTATCCTTTTATCAGCCTGCCTGGCTTTATGTTGTCACCAATCGTTTCCAGCGCTCTCCCACCCTCCCCATCCTCATCCCTGAGCCTGCTGCTTTGTGCACAGATAAAATCCTTTGTCAGTGAAGCAGCACATCTTGGGAGCTGTGATGGGAGAGCCCAGCCCTCAAACACACGAGCTCTGAGCATTTCAACTCCAATCCTTCCAGCACTCCTTGCTGGGCACGGCCAAACTGGGGCAGCTAAAATTATCCTGCCTTGTTTGAGCACAGATAAATCACAGGGCAGCAGGAGGATGCTCAGGTTCCACATGGCAGCAGGGACAGAAGGGACCCTGTGAGTGTCACAGCACTTTGCTGGTGGCATTTGGGGGACAAAGACACACTTTGGGTGGCATTAAGAGCTCCAAGGACACTTTGCTGGTGGCATTTGGGGGACAAAGACACACTTTGGGTGGCATTAAGAGTTCCAAGGACACTTTACAAAGCGTTACATTTTAAACACATTTTAAATTGGTGGCATTCAGGGCACAAGGACACACTTTGGGTGGCATGAAGAGCTCCAAGCACACTATGCTGGTGGCATTTGGGGGACAACGACACACTTTGGGTGGCATTGAAGAGCTCCAAGGAAGAGCTCCAAGGAAGAGCTCCTTGTCCCCTGACTGCCACTTTGCTGGTGGCATTCAGGGGACAAGGACACACTTTGAGTGGCATTACGAGCTCCAAGCACACTTTGCTGGTGGCATTTGGGGGACAATGACATACTTTGGGTGGCATTAACAGCTCCAAGGACACTTTGCTGGTGACTTTGAAGAGGTCCAAGGACACTTTGTTGGTGGCATTCAGGGGTTCAAGGACACAATTTGCTAATGGGGTCCAAGGACACACAATTTGTGACATTAAAAGTGTCCAAGGACGCTTTGCTGGTGGCATTAAAAGGGTTTGACAACACGCTTTGCTGGTGGCAGTAAAGGGGTCCAAGGACACATTTTGTAGAGAATTAAAGGGATTTGGGGGCACACTTTCCTGGAGGCAATGAATGGGTCCAAGGACACTTTGCTGGTGGCGTTCAGGGGACAAGGACACACTTTAGGTGGCATTAACAGCTCCAAGGACACTTTGCTGGTGGCATTAATGAGTCTGAGGACACTTTTCTGGTGGCATTAAAAGGGTTTGAGGGCACACTTTGCTGATGGGGTCCAAGGACACACAATTTGTGACATTAAAGGGGTCCAAGGAAACTTTTCTGATGGCATTAATGGGGTCCGAGGACACACTTTGCTGGTGGCATTAAAGGGTTCCAAGGACACATTTTGTGGAGAATTAAAGGGATTTGGGGGCATACCTTCCTGGTGGCAATGAACGGGTCCAAGAACACTTTGCTGGTGGCATTAACGGGGTCCAAGGACACATTTTGTGGAGAATTAAAGGGATTTGAGAACACACCTTCCTGGTGGCAATGAAGGGGCCCAAGGACACTTTGCTGGTGGCATCTGAGGCTCTGAGGGGGCACTGTCTTGCAGGTGAAGCCTTGCTAGAAACCAACACCATTGTAGACTACATCTACAGCTCGCCCTCGCTGCGCTGCGTGCAGACGGCCCACAACATCCTGAAAGGTAGGGGACACAGGGATGGGCTGGGGTCTCCTCATGTGCTGCAAAAAATCTGACAAACGGGGAAAAAACATGGACCTAAGTCCATGGGGAATGGTAATTAGTATTAATTTTATTATTGAATTAATTTTTATATTATTATATTATATATTGGTATATTATTATATCATTTTTATTTAAATAAATTTAATTTCTTGAAATTCATTATTTATTCATTAAAATTTATTTATTTATATAGACGTTATTATTAATTTATTGATTAATAAAATTATTATTAATTTAATTTATTCATTATTTTATTTAATTATTCTATTATATATTCTCTTCTATTATTCTATTATTATATTCTACTTTATTATAGATAATATTATTACTATATATATTATTCTATTCTATTATTCTATTATAATTAAATTTATTATTATTATCTATTAAGTGAATGGCAATCATTATTTCCATAGCAATATATTTTCTATCAGCACAATCCATAAGGAGCCCTTTTCTAATTGCACCAGCTGCCAGCCAGAGCTTGACATTCCCTACAATACATTGTATACAATGTATGTATTGTATAGGGAATACATTAAATAAATTTAATTGTTTAATTATTTTTATAATTAACATATTTTTTGTTTAATCATTATTTAATTATTTACAAATCAGTTGTAGGGCATACATTAAGTAATTTAATTTATTTTAATACTTAATTTCCTATAGAGAACAGGAATAAGCAATACTTAACAATAGGAAAATAGGAATAGTAATAATTAATTTCCTATAGAAAACCAATAAATTAACAGATACCTGAAGCATTAATGCTTCTCTCTTCCTTCTCACTGCTACCTGGCCTCATCTCCCTGTTTTCCAGGTATGCAACAGGAGAATGACCTGAAAATCTGGGTAGAGCCCGGCTTGTTTGAGTGAACCATATACATGAAATAAATTTAATTGATTTTATTTATTTAATGAATAATTAAAATTAAAATTTGAAATGGATAATTAAATTAAATTTAATTTTTATAATGAATTTTTTTTAAATAAATTTTTAATTTTTATTAATAAATTGTAGGGCATGCATTGAATAGACACTTAATTTCCTATAGAAATTAAATAAATTAACAAATACCTGAAGCAATAAAGCAGCTCTCTTCCTCCTCACTGCTGTCTGTCCCCTGTCCGTGTGTCGCAGGCATGCAGCAGGAGAACAGCCTGAAGATCCGGGTGGAGCCAGGATTGTTCGAGTGGACCAAGGTGGGTGTCGGGGAGCTCGCTGCCCGCCTGGATCCCGCCCGCAGACCTGGCTGCAGCCACGCTCAGCGTGGACACAACCTACAGGTACCGAGGGCAGGGGCTGCTGGGGGCACCCAGCACCCAAACCTGCTCGGGGCACCAGCACCCAAACCTGCTCGGGGCACCAGCACCCAAACCTGCTCGGGGGCACCCAGCACCCAAACCTGCTCGGGGCACCAGCACCCAAACCTGCTCGGGGCACCAGCACCCAAACCTGCTCTGGGCACCCAGCACCCAAACCTGCTCAAACTGGGGCTGCTGGGGGCACCCAGCACCCAAACCTGCTCGGGGCACCAGCACCCAAACCTGCTCTGGGCACCCAGCACCTAAACCTGCTTGGGGCACCCAGCACCCAAACCTGCTCGGGGCACCAGCACCTAAACCTGCTCTGGGCACCCAGCACCTAAACCTGCTCTGGGTGAGGCTGCTCTGGGCACCCAGCACCCAAACCTGCTCAGGGCACCCAGCACCCAAACCTGCTCTGGGCGCCCAGCACCCAAACCTGCTCAGGGCAACCAGCACCCAAACCTGCTCAGGGCACCCAGCACCTAAACCTGCTTGGGGCACCCCAGCACCCAAACCTGCTCAGGGCACCAGCACCTAAACCTGCTCGGGGCACCCAGCACCCAAACCTTGCTCAAACTGGGGCTGCTGGGGGCACCCAGCACCCAAACCTGCTCTGGGCACCCAGCACCTAAACCTGCTTGGGGCACCCAGCACCCAAACCTGCTCAGGGCACCAGCACCTAAACCTGCTCTGGGTGAGGCTGCTCTGGGCACCCAGCACCTAAACCTGCTCAGGGTGAGGCTGCTCTGGGCACCCAGCACCCAAACCTGCTCAGGGTGAACGGCCCCACAGGCTGGGAGAGCTGCTCAGGGTGTCCAGGGAAATTCAGAGCAGGCTCCGGGCTGCTGTGCTGAACATGACCTGAAAATTATATATTTTTTCTATATTTCTATATATTTTCATCTATTTTTTAATTTTTGTATGTATATGTGAATATATATATGCGTATATATATGTGTGTGTATATATATGTGTATATACACATATGTGTATATAGATTTATTAAATAGTATCTATATATATATGTTATATATATTATATATGTGACCCAAAAATTATATATAAATATATATTTATATATATTTATATGTATATATCTGTGTATATATGTGTGTATATATGTATGTGTATATACATTTATTAAATTATGTGTATATACATTTATTAAATAATATCTATATATATATGACCTGAAAATGCTATATAATATATATAGAATATATGTGACTTGAAAATTATATAATATATATTATATTAAATATATAGATAAATATATGATATTGATATAGAAATTATATAAACATATGATTATATAGAAGATATATACACTGCATATGAAATACATAAAAATATATAATATATATAATTCTAGATATTGACATATAAATTATATAAATACAATTATATATAAAAATATGTATAAAATAAATTTTGGCTTATTATCAACCAAATCTCCCATATCACTGGCAATTCCTCCTGATCATGGAGGTTGCGCAGACCTTGCAGTTAGTTAGAATTCTTTATTTTTACAATTCCCTGGCTGTGTTTCTCTCCCCCCAGACCTTGCAGTCAGTTAGAATTCTTTATTTTTACAATTCCCTGGCTGTGTTTCTCTCCCCCCAGACCTCATATTCCTGTCAGCAAGTTGGTGGTTTCTGAGTCTTACGACTCCTACATCAGCAGAAGCTACCAAGTGACGAAGGAAATCATCAGTGAATGTAAAGGCAAAGGTGAGTGAGTGCTGCACAGGGGTGGCAATTCCAATATTCCCGAAATCTTTCTCTCTTAGAGGATAAATTCCCAGCCCTAAATCTCCCATCCTGTCTCCCAGAAACATTGGAAAATCCTGAGCTATAATTTCAGATAAATTCCTCCTACAAGAGAGGTCCATTAAGTTAAATGGCAGAATTATTTTAGAGATCCTGACCCATTGGAATTATAGGAATTTATTCCCAAGGGAATAAATGGAAATTCCCAAGAGAATTGACTTATTCCCTTGGGAATTATTTAGCAGACACATCACCTTAAGAGAGGGCCAGAAAGTCAAATAGCAGAATTATTTTAGAGATCCTGCATCATTGAAGTGATAGGAATTTATTCCCAAGGGAATAAATGAATTATTTTCCAGATGCATCACCTTAAGAGAGGTCCATAAAGGTAAATAGCAGAATTATTTTAGGAATCCTGACCCATTGGAATGATAGGAATTTATTCCCAAGGGAATGAATGAATTATTTTTCAGATACATCACCTTAAGAGAGGTCCATAAAGTTAAATAGCAGAATTGTTTTAAGGATCCCAACCCACTGGAATGATGGGAATTTATTCCCAAGGGATTAAATGAATTATTTTTCAGATATACTCCTCTTACAAGACAGATCCATAAAGTTAAATAGCAGAATTATTTTAGGGATTCCATTGGAATGGTGGGAATTTATTCCCAAGGGAATAAATGAATTATTTGCCCTCTGCTGTGTGTTCCCATTACTAAATGGGGCATTTTCCCTCCCCTATCCGAGCCCCTCCTCCAAATTATATTCCCATAAAAACCTTAGAACATTTCTCCGAACACAAAATTATATTTTATTTTTAAACCCCTAACTGTTATTGTTCATCCACAACATTCTGAGAATCCCTAAATTCTGTAGTTTTCACAGATTTCCTCTCACCGACCTGACTCTGCATTCTAAGCTTTGATTTTAATGGTTTGCACACAAAAATTCAAAAGCACAGTGGGGCATTGCTTGTGAAGGATCTCAGAAATGGAAATGCAAAGCTGCCACTGTGCAAAGCCAGCAAGTGAAATTAAAGTGTTTGTTGTAACAGGAATTAATTTTTGCGTAGGCAAAAAGCATCTGCTTCCCAGCACAGCTGAAACCTCACTGGAATTCTTGTTTTCTCCAGGAAGCATTTTCAAACCAAGTAGGAATGAGTTAAGGACTACCCTGAAAATTGAGAAATGCTTTAAACGTGTAACAAATCCCATTTTCCCCTTCATTCTCTATTGTATTTGGGGGGTTCCTCATGGAGGAATGATGAATCTGACTCTTGTTCTCAGAAGGCTGATTTATTATTTTATGATCTATATTATATTAAAGAATACTAAACTATACTAAAGAATACAGAAAGGATACAGACAGAAAGGTAAAAAGATAATAATGAACACTGGTGATTCTCTTCGGAGTCCTGACACAGCTTGAGGCCAAAGAGTCAAAACAATTCACATCAAACCAATGAAACAATCTCCAACCACATTCCAAAGCAGCAAAACACAGGAGAAGCAAATCAGATAATTGTTGTTTTCATTTTTCTCTGAGGCTTCGCAGCTTCCCAGGAGAGAAATCCTGAGCAAAGGGATTTTTCTGAAAATGTGACAGCGACAATTCACAGCTTGATGTGTTTTTATAGGATAAAGTGTTTTAAAAGGCTGCTTGATCTGGGGCACCAGCCCCTAAACCTGGCTTTGGGTCCCTCCTCAGGCTGTGTTTTGTAGGAGTGATGGGGGTGGGATGGTCAGGACGGATGGAGATCTCTGCAGCCAGGGCTTGGAACTTTTGGGTTATTGCAAAGGGCCTGGGTGCAGGGCCCTGCTGGGAGCTGCCAAACACAGCTCAGAGCAGCCCCAAAGAGGGAGAGAGAGATAAAGAGAGTGGTAAAGAGGATGAGAGAGTGAGGAAAAGAGAGAAAGATTCCTGTTACAATACCATAAATCTTCTTCTGTGTTGAATATTCCAATTCTCACTAACCAATCTAGTCCAAGATACAAATCCTACAGCATTTACATACAGCCTATAACAATCACTACATTACCATCCTGTGTTACATTTTAAACCCTAAAAACTCCTCTTTGGGCCCCTTCTGCCAAGCTGTAGGGTCTGCTCTGACCCTTGGGCCTGTCTGCAAGCAGAGGGTGTTGTTCCATCAAAAGGGGATCACCTTCAGCCAGCCACACCATTGTTTTCCAGTTGTTCAGTAACTGAGGGATCTCAAAGCTTGCTTTCATTTCAATCTCGCTTATAGTTTCCACATTCTCAAAATCTTGTGCCAGACAATGATATTGATAAGGCTTTCCTGTTTCATCTTCCCCAACAGTGTTTCTCATTTTATTTCAGGAAATAACATCCTGATCGTGGCTCATGCCTCCTCCCTGGAGGCCTGCACCTGCCAGCTCCAGGGGCTGTCCCCCCAGAACTCCAAGGATTTTGTACAGATGGTCCGAAAGGTGAGGGCCAGCAGGGACAAAACCAAGTGGAGATCTGCTGGAGCAGGGCTTGGTCTGAGTTTTTGACTCATTTCAGGAGTCAGGAGGGTGAGGGAGAAGGGTTTGAGAGGCTGGGGCAGAGTGTGGGGTCAGGGACCCTCCTGAGGTGGGTGTGCAGGGACAGTTTGTGCTTTGTGGGGTCAGGGACCCTCCTGAGGTGGGTGTGCAGGGAGCCTTTTGGGTTTGTGGGATCAGATGTCCACCTGAGCTTGGTGTTTTGTGGGGTCAGGTGTCCATTTAAGATGCGTTTGCAGGGACAGTTTGTGCTTTGTGGGGTCAGGTGCCCACCTGAGCTGCAGGAACATCCATATTCCCCCCAAAGCTGTGCCGGTTTGGGATCACATTTGCTTTGAGCTGGTCCCTGTTTAAACTTATATTCCATTTAAACCTACATCCCATTTAGACCTGCATCCCATTCAAAACTACATTCTTAAACCTACATTTCATTCAAAACTACCTTTTTAAAACTACATTTCATTCATAACTACATTCTTAAAAGTACATTCTTAAACTTACATTCTTAAACCTACATTACATTCAAAACTACCTTTTTAAAACTACATTTTTAAACCTATATTTCATTCAAAACTACCTTTTAAAAACATTTTTAAAACTACAATTCCATTCAACACTACATTTTTAAAACTACATTCTTAAAACTACATTCCTTTCAAAACTACATTCTTAAACATACACTTTTAAAACTGCATTTCATTCAAAACTACCTTTTTAAAACTACATTTTTAAAACTACATTGCATTCAAACCTACATTCTTAAAAGTACGTTCTTAAACTTCATTCTTAAAGATACATTTCATTCAAAACTACCTTTTTAAAACTACATTTTAAAATCTGCATTCCATTCAAAACCACATTCTTAAACCTACATTTTTGAAACTACATTCCATTCAAAACTACATTTTTAAAGCTACATTCTTAAGACTACGTTGCATTCAAATCTACATTCTTAAAACTACCTTCTTAAAACTACATTTTTAAAACTACATTTTTAAAACTACATTTTTAAAGCTACATTTTTAAAGCTACATTCCATTCAAAACTACATTTTTAAACCCACATTCCAAGGGTATAATCTGGTTTTTTTTCGTGGTGCACAGTCTGTCAATCGCCATCTGAAAATGGACATTGGGAGAGGGAAAGAGAGGGGAAAAAAGGGTGAAATCCTGGAGTGGCCCAGCAGGGTCTCACCCCTGGGATGGGTGTGGATCCCTTGGGATTACCCAGCTCAATCCCTGCTGTTTTCCTGAATTCCCCCCTCTCTCCTCACAGATTCCCTACCTGGGCTTCTGCTCCTGTGAAGAGCTGGGGGACACCGGCGTGTGGCAGCTCACAGACCCCCCCATCCTCCCTCTCACCCATGGACCCACCGGGGGCTTTAACTGGAGAGAAACGCTCCTGCAGGAGTAGGAGCAGCAGCAAGGACAGCCCTGCCCAGCTGGACAATGCCTCTTCTTCCTCCTCTTCTTCATCATCTTCCTCCTTGTGTTTTATTGCCAGCAGGAAAATCCCTCCTCACCTGTCCCGCGCATCCCACACGGCCACGGCCCCGCAAAAAGTCTTTTTTTTTAATTTAAATGGGCTGCAAATCAGCTCGTTTACAACAAAATGGGCTGAGTTGAGGCGGGGCGGGGGGGAAAAATAAATTAAAATACAGCTCGAGTGCTCTTGCACAGCTCGGGGTTGGTTTCCTCACCTTGAGGGAGCTCTGGTGACACTTTCGCTGTGGGGACAATGAGAATGTGGCAGGCAGGATGCCGGGGTTGTTTTGTCACTGCTATTTTTGCAGCCTTGTTCAGCACCTCGTGCTTGCTCCACTCCCAGCCCCCAAACCCTCAGCACCTCGCAGGAAAATCAAAAAATTCAAAATAATCCTTCCCCAAGCTGGAAATGAGTCCAGGGTCGTCTCTGCAGGCTGCACCAGGTTGTTCCTCTCCTCTGAGTGCTCAAAATGTGCTGGATGTTGTGCAGAGATGGGTGGATATTCAGGAAAATAAGAGGTTGGTTGATATTAAAGAAGAGATTTGGTTGATATTAAGGAAAATAAGAGATTGGTTGATATTCAGGAAAATTCTGTACGTGAAAAATTCCGAATTTCACATCGGTTGCAGGTGAGGTTTGAGCATCAAAAGTCAGCACAACCCCCAAACCCTCAGCACCTCGCAGGAAAATCAAAAAATTCAAAAAAATCCTTCCCCAAGGCTGGAAATGAGTCCAGGGTTGCCCCTGCAGGCTGCACCAGGTTGAGCAAAGATGGGAGTGCTCAAAATGTGCTGGATGTTGCGCAGAGATGGGTGGATATTCAGGAAAATAAGAGGTTGATATTCATGAAAATAAGAGATTTGTTGATATTCAGGAAAATAAGAGATTGGTTGATATTAAAGAAGAGATTTGGTTGATATTAAAGAAAATAAGAGATGGGTTGATATTCAGGAAAATTCTGTACATTAAAAATTCCAAATTTCACACCAATTACGGGTGACGTTTGAACATCAAAAGTCGGCACAACCCCCAAACCCTCAGCACCTCGCAGGAAAATCAAAAAATTCAAAAAAATCCTCCCCCAAGGCTGGAAATGAGTCCAGGGTTGTCTCTGCAGGCTGCACCAAGTTATCCCTCTCCTCTGAGTGCTCAAAATGTGCTGGATTTTGTGCAGAGATCAGTTGATATTAAAGAAAATAAGAAATTTGTTGATATTAAGGAAAATAAGATATTGGTTGATATTAGGGAAAATAAGAGATGGGTTGATATTCAGGAAAATTCTGTATATGAAAAATTCCAAATTTCACATCAATTACAGGTGAGGTTTGAGCATCAAAAGTCAGCACAACCCCCAAACCCTCAGCACCTTCCAGAAAAATCAAAAAATCAAAAAAATCCTTCCTCAAAGCTGGAAATGAGTCCAGGGTTTCCTCCTCAGGCTGCACCAGGTTGTTCCTCTCCTCTGAGTGCTCAAAATGTGCTGGATTTTGTGCAGGGATTGGTTGATATTAAAGAAAATAAGAATGGAACAAAACCCAAAAAGAGGAGAAAATTGAGATGGAACAAACTCCAAAAGAGGAGAAAATTGGGGTGGAACAAACCCCAAAAAGAGGAGAAACAATTGGGAGGGAGCAAACCCCAAAAAGAGAAACAATTGGGATGGAAATAACCCCAAAAGAGGAGAAAATTGGGATGGAAAAACCCCCCAAAAAAGGAGAAAAAATTGGGATGAATCAAATAACCCAAAAGAGGAGAAAATTGGGATAGAATAAACCCCAAAAGAGGAGAAAATTGGGATGAAGCAAAACCCCAAAAGAGGAGAAAATTGGGATGGAAAAAAACCCAGAGGATGAGAAAAAATTGGGATGGAGCAAATCCCAAAAGAGAAGAAATTTGGGATGGAGAAAACCCCAAAGGAGGAGAAAAAATTGGGATGGAGAAAACCCCAAAAGAGAAGAAAATTGGGATGGAGCAAAACCTCAAAAGAGGAGAAAATTGGGATGGAGAAACAATTGGGATTGAACAAACCCCAAAAAAAGGAGAAAATTGGGATGGAAATAACCCCAAAAGAGGAGAAAATTGGGAGGGAGAAAACTCCAAAAGAGGAGAAAATTGGAGTGGAACAAACCCCAAAAAGAGGAGAAACAATTGGGGTGGAGCAAACCCCAGAAAAAGAGAAACAATTGGGATGGAAATAACCCCAAAAGAGGAGAAAATTGGGATGGAGCAAAACCCCAAAAGAGGAGAAAAAATTGGGAGGGAGTAAACCCCAAAAGAGGAAAAAAAATGGGATGGAACAAACCCCAAAAGAGGAGAAAACTGGGAGGGAGCAAACTCCAAGAGACGAGAAACAACTTGGATGGAACAAACCCCAAAAAAAGGAGAAAATTGGGATGGAATAAACCCCCAAAAAAGGAGAAAATTGGAATGGAGCAACCCCAGAGGGGCTGAGCTCAGTTTGGAGCCCATCCTGGCCACAATCCCAGCTATTCCCACAATCCACAGGACAAAAATCCCATTATTTCTGCTTTTAGGACTGTGTGACGCCCCTTAGGCCACTCCTAAGAGCTTTATTACAGCAGGGATGGAACTGAAAAGTCAAAGGAGAAAATTCAGGACGGGGAAAACAAAAACCCCAACCTGCTCCTGTGTGGTTTGATCGCTGTCAGGTTCGTTTTTAATTGTCATTTCAATTTTTTTTTTTTTGCTGTGTACAGACATTCTGAAGAGCGTTTCTGGCTTGTTGTCCTCCATGCAAAAAAAAAAAAAAAATTAAATTAAATATTTGACAATCACACCAAAAAAATTGAGGAAAAATTTGGTTGTTGAGGCATGTGAATTCTCTGGATTTTTTTTTTTTTTTTTTTGTGTAAAAATTTGGGGCAGGAAATATTGCTGTGTTTTAATATTTATTTATCTCAGATCCTGCTGGAGTTGAGTGACATTAAAAGGAGATTTTTAGGAGCATTAAACAGAGAGGGAGGAAAAGCTGAATGTACAATTTGAGTGGTGTCAGCTGCTCTTTGATACAGAAATAAATAAAAAATACAGAAATAAATAAAAAAGGTGTTCTGGTTGAGGAGGTAGATGTTAAAATACTCTTCTTTAAAAAATATATATATATATATTTTTGGATGTTGGGGAAATATTTTGACAATTTTGGTCTTGTCTTGAATTAGGTGTCAGGGAGAAAAATCTTCTTTTCTTCAGCATTTTGAGTTTTCTTGGGGGTTTTGTGTTGAGCAGTGCTGAAAGGGCTTTTTGGGTGGAAAAAAGAGAAAAAATATTCCTTTTAAATTTATAATTGAGAGTTGAGAAGACAAAAGGATTGCTGCTGCATTTTCACCCCATTAATGAGGATTTAATGCTCATTAATGTGGATTTAATGCTGATTAATGTGGATTTAATGTCACTCCCGTGGTTTGTCCCACAACATTAAATTTCAGCACTCCAAACTCTTTCCCTTCGCTGTGAGCTGCATCAGATCCCAACTTTTATTCTAACATCAATTCCCAGCTTTTTCCTTCTCTCCACAATTAAGGAATAAAAAAAAAAAGCTGCAAACCTGCCAAGAATAAAGAGTTAATTTTAATAATTTGCAATGTATGGCTTAGAAAAAAAAAATTAAATGGAGATTTAAATGAACAGAGCTTTGCTTGTTTATGCAAAATGAGGATGCAGAGCGTGGTGATTTCAGTAAAAATTTGGTATTTCCCTTTTCACAGTTTCAGACAGGGCCCAGGGGCCTCCTCTGCTGTGAAATTCTGGTGAATTCAAAGAAATTGGTAAATTTGATCCCCAAATAATTCCTTGGGTTTGTGGTTTGGTTGAATTTCTTTCAAAAGAGGCGCAGAGGAAATGGTTTGAAGTCACAGGCAGGAGGGATGGAGTCACTGAACAGAGGAAATGCAATTAACAGTGGCTGTTAATTAACAGCCTGGCTGCAAAATCGCTTCTCGCTGCTCCCCACTTCCTCAAACTCATCCCCAGGGACTCCTCATGGCCCACAACAGAAAATACTCAGCCAGTTCCTGCGTTATTTCTCATTATTTCAGTGTTTTCTCAACTTTCATCTCTTCAGACTCGATGTCTCAACTTCCCCTTTTCCTTTTGTTTTATTTTGTTTCATTTTCACCTCACTGTATCATTCTGTTCATCATGGATTTTGGTTTTTATTTAGTTGTATTTATTTGAGAGAGAAAAAAAGAAGAAGTTTGCTGTTAAAAAAACCCCAATAATTGTATTGCCAAAACCAGCTGTAATTACCTGTGACACCTGTATTTTTTTTATTTTAGGGGCGGGTGGATGTTTTTAATCTCATTTTTTGGGTGCTGCCAACTGTTCAAACAACCACGGCGTTTTAATTTGCTTCTCACATTAAACGGAACTCTCAGAATTCGGACAAAAACCTCTCGTAGGTGATTTAATAAAGTTTATTAAATAGGAAGTGCCGAGCACCCCTTCCTATTTCACGTTTCCTCCGGAGTGTGGTGGAGTTTTGAGCTGCATTTTTATTTTTTCCTGAGGCTGAAATTCACTCACTCGACAGCAGATGGCACAAAAATCCTCCCGATTCCTGCTCTCAGGGATGGGATTTTCCCTCGGAATTCGGATTTTCCCTGGAATTATTTCACTCTCAGCTCTGGATGTGTGGAATTGAAGCCACAACTTTCAATCCAAACTCGCTTTTCCAACGCATCTATCTTAATCGCGGTTTTAATTTTATTATTTTTTTTTCTTTCAACCCAATTTTATTTCTTTTTTTTTTTCAATTCTGTTTTAAATTCACGACCTGCAGCTCTGTTTTCCAGTACAATTTTACTGGATTTTAATTCGTGATGATGACCACAAAAGCCACAGATTTATCAACCAAATTCCCCACTGAGTGATGCACCTGAAGTTTCATGGAAATAGATCCTAATAAATGAGGAATAAACACGCCATTTGTTTATAATTGATTTTGTCCACTTCACTCAAGCACACACAGCTTTTAAAATAAATCATTATCTTATTAAATTCAGTTTATTTTGACTGCAATAGTCCACACTAAATTTTGAGCAGCTCCAAAGGAGGATCTGCCAAAAATTCTTTTTGGGAAATCACAAATTATTTTGTCCACTTCACTCAAGCACACACAGCTTTTAAAATAAATAATTATCTTATTAAATTCAGTTTATTTTGACTGCAATAGTCCACACCAAATTCTGAGCAGCTCCAAAGGAGGATCTGCCACAGTGCCACAAAAGTGACTTTTATTTTAATCCAGGCCTTTAAAATGGGTTTTAATCATCCTTGCCACATCCACGAGTGTCATTTTTATAATCCAGAGATTTAAAAAATGGATTTTAAGATGCCTTGCCACATCCACGAGTGACATTTTTTAATCCAGGCATTTGAAATGGGTTTTTAAGCAGCCTTACTACTTCCACAAATGTAATTTTTATAATCCAGGTATGTAAAATGGGTTTTAAACTGCCTTGCCACTTCCACGAGTGACATTTTTTAATCCAAGGATTTAAAACCCGTTTCTAACCAGCTTTACCACACCCATGAGTGACTTTTTTTTTAAAATCCAGAGATTTGAAAATCTGTTTCAAGCAGCCTTGCCACATCCACGAGTGCCATTTTTTAAATCAAGGGATTTTAAATGTTTTTTTAGCTGCCTTGCCACATCCACAAGTGTCATTTTTATAATCCAGGGATTTAAAATGAGTTTTCAAGCAGCCCTGCCATTCCAACGAGTGTTATTTTTATAATCCAGGCATTTTAAATGGGTTTTAGGCAGCCTTGCCAGATCCAGAAGTGACATTTTTTTTAACCCAAGGATTTAAAATGAATTTTTAAGCAGCCTTGCCACATCCACGAGTGACTTTTCTTTTTTAATCCAATGATAAAATATGGGTTTTTAGGCAGCCTTGCCACTTCCACGAGTGACATTTCTATAATCCAGGCATTTGAAATGGGTTTCAAGCAGCCTTGCCACATGCACAAGTGTCATTTTTATAATCCAGGGATTTAAAATGGTTTTTTTAAGCAGCCTTGCCACATCCACGAGTGACATTTTTTAATGCAAGGATTTAAAATGGGTTCTCAAACTGCCTTGCCACATCCTTGCCACATCCGCAATTGTCATTTTTATAACCCAGGCATTTAAAATGGGTTTTTAGGCAGCCTTGCCACTTCCACAATTGACTTTTTTCTTTTTTTTATCCAATAATTTAAAATGGGTTTTCAACTGCCTCGCCACATCCACAGGTGTCATTTTTATAAGCCAGGCATTTTAAAATGGATGGATTAAAAAATTAAAATGGGTTTTTACGCAGCTTTGCCACATCCACCAGGTAAGCGCTGCCTTCCCAAGCTGGGGAATGGAATCCCGGCGCATCCCAGCAGCAGGGTGACCCCAGCCCCACATTTCCCTTTTCCCTTTTCCCTTTTCCCTTTTCCCTTTTCCCTTTTCCCTTCTCCCCCTCGAGCTGAGCCGGTCCCGGCTCGGGGGCAGCGCTGAAATTCCGCGTCCGCGCCGCTGTCGCCCACCAGTTCCTGCGGGGGCACCGCGCGGTCACCGCGGGCTGCGCTCAAAAGGGAGCGCGGAGAGCGCAGGGGGGAAACCGAGCCCGGCCGAGCTCAGCCCAGCCCAGCCCGGCTCAGCTCAGCTCAACCAAGCTCAGCCCGGCTCAGCCCAGCCCGGCTCAGCCCAGCCCAGCCCGGCTCAGCTCAGCTCAACCAAGCTCAGCCCGGCTCAGCCCAGCCCAGCTCAGCCCAGCCCAGCCCGGCTCAGCTCAGCCAAGCTCAGCCAAGCTCAGCCCGGCTCAGCCCAGCCCGGCTCAGCCAAGCTCAGCCCAGCCCAGCTCAGCCCAGCTCAGCCCAGCCCGGCTCAGCTCAGCTCAACCAAGCTCAGCCCGGCTCAGCCCAGCCCGGCTCAGCCAAGCTCAGCCCGGCTCGGCTCAGCCCAGCCCAGCATGAGCGTGCCCGGGGCGCTGCTCGCCGTGCCGCTGCTCCTGCTGCAAGGTAAGCCCGGCTTCAGCTCGGCCCAGCTCTCCTCCCCAGTCCTGCTGTGCTGCTGGCACCGGGGTGACACAGCTATAATGGCACCCCTTTCCCGATTTTGCCCCCCAGTTCCCAATTTTGGCACCCCTTTCCCAGCTTTGTCACCCCTTTCCCAATTTTGTCCCGTCCCGATGTCCTGACCAATTAGATCTGCTTTTCTAGAGGAACCACTTTGGGGGTTCTCTCCCAAATTTGCCCTGAACCAGGACATCACCCCATTCCCAGTTTTGTCACCCCATTTCCAGTTTTGTCACCCCATTCCCGATTTTGTCACCCCTTTCCCAGTTTTGTCCTGTCCCGGTGTCCTGGCCAATTGGATCTGCTTTTCTAGAGGAACCCCTCTGGGAATCCTCTCCCAAATTTGCCCTGAACCAGGACATTGCCCCATTTCCAGTCTTGCCACCCAATTCCCAGTTTTGTCATCTCTTTCCCAATTTTGGCACCCCTTTCCCAATTTTGTCCTGTCCTGTCCCAGTGTCCTGGCCAACTGGATCTGCTTTTCTAGAGGATCCCCTCTGGGAATTCTCTCCCAAATTTGCCCTGAACCAGTACATCACCCCATTCCCAGTTTTTTCACCCCTTTCCCGATTTTGTCCTGTCCCGGTGTCCTGGCCAACTGGATCTACTTTTCTAGAGGATCCCCTTTGGGGGTTCTCTCCCAGATTTGCCATGAACCAGGACATCACCCCATTCCCAATTCTGTCACCCCATTTAGGAGTTGTCACCCCATTCAGGGGTCAGTGAGCTCACCGAGTCCCAAACCCAGGATCAGTGACACCGAGTTACTCCTGGGTGACAAAGCTTTGGGGTATCCAAAAATTCTGCCTTAAATTTGGGCAGGGGGTCACTGCTTGCTTTGCCTGGCTCCGAAATCCAAATTTGCCCTTTTTGGTGTGAAGTCAGAGCAACTCAGGGAGAACTTGCAAAGTCCTTTGGAAAAGAAAACCGCTTTAGGTTTTCTGCAGGATGAATTTGTAGCTGCTGCCTTGGCTTCCAGAATTAATTCAGCTCCATCCAGAGGGCAGCAGCCAGGACAAAAACAACTCATTAAATGGGGTGATTGTGGGTTATAATCTCACAGATAACTGCACCAAAAAAACTTCATTAAATGGGGTGGCTGTGGGCTACAATCTCACAGATAACTCTGCACGAAAATTATTAAATGGGGTGGCTCTGCGGGTTACAGGCTCACAGATAACTGCACCAAAACTAACTCATTAATTAATTAGAGTAATAGTGGGTTACAGGCTCATAGATAACTGCACCAAAAGTCATTAAATGGGATGGCTCTGTGGGTTACAATCTCACAGATAACTGCACCAAAAAAACTCATTAATCAATTGGGGTGGCTCTGTAGATTGCAGGCTCACAGATAACTGCATCTGTGAGAAATAATACTCGCTTGCAAAAAGTTAAAAGGTTTATTAAAACCTTAACAGAATACGCTGTTGTGTTACTCATCTATAACAGCACCAAAACTGACTCATTAAACAGGGTGATTGTGGGTCAGAATCTCACAGACATCTGCACCAAAACTAATTCATTAATTGGGGTGATTGTGGGTTACAATCTCAGATAACTGCACCAAAACTAACTTATTAAATGGGGTGGCTGTGGGTTAGAACCTCACAGATAACTCTGCACCAAAATCACTAAATGAAATGATTGAGGGTTACAGGCTCACAGACACCTCTGCGCCAAAATTATTAAACAGGGTGATTGTGGGTTACAATCTCACAAATAACTGCACCAAAGCTCATTAAATGGGGTGATTGTGGGTTACAGGCTCACAGATAACTGCACCGAAATCACTAAATAGGATCGTGGATTTCAGGCTCACAGATAACTGCACCAAAATTATTAAAGAGGATGATTGTGGGTTACAATCTCACAGATAACTCTGCACCAAAATCAGTAAATATGGTGATTGTGGGTTATAATCTCACAGATAACTGCATGAAAACTCACTCATTAAATGGGGTGCTTCCGTGGGTGACAATCTCACAGATAACTCTGTGCCAAAATCATTAAATAGGAGGATGATAGTGGGTTAGAATCTCACAGATAACTGCACCAAAAACACGAAATGAAATGATTGTGGGTTACAGGCTCACAGATAACTGCACCAAAACTCACTCATTAAATGGGACGATTGTAGATTACAGGCTCACAATTAAATGCACCAAAATCATTAATTGGGGTGGCTCTGTGGATTACAGGCTCACAGATAACTGCACCAAAATTATTAATAGGATGATTGTGGGTTACAATCTCACAGATAACTGCTCCAAAATCAGTAAATAGGATGATAGAGGGTTAGAATCTCACAGATAACTCTGCACCAAAATCATTAAAAGAGTTGGCTCTGTGAGTAACAATCTCACAGATAACTGTACCAAGATTATTAAATAGGATGATTGTGGGTTACAATCTCACTGATAACTGCACCAAAATCAGTAAATAGGATGATTGTGGGTTAGAATCTCACAGATAACTGCTCCAAAATCAGTAAATAGGATGATAGAGGGTTAGAATCTCACAGATAACTGCATGAAAACTCACTCATTAAATGGGATGATTGTGGATTACAGGCTCACAGATAACTGCACTGAAATTATTAAATAGGATGATTGTGGGTTATAATCCCACAAATAACTGCACCAAACTCATTGAAAGGCATGACTCTGTGGGTTACAGGCTCACAGATAACTGCACCAAAATTATTAAAGAGGATGATTGTGGGTTACAATCTCACAGATAACTGCACCAAAATTATTAAAGAGGATGATTGTGGGTTACAATCTCACAGATAACTGCACCAAACTCATTTAAAGGGTTGGCTCTGTGAGTAGCAGTCTCACAGATAACTGCACCAAAATCAGTAAATAGGATGATAGAGGGTTACAATCTCACAGATAACTGCACCAAAACCATTACATTGGGTGGCTGTGGGTTACAATCTCTCAGCTAACTGCACCAATATTATTAAATAGGATGATAGAGGGTTACAATCTCACAGATAACTGCACCAAACTCACTGAGCAGGGTGGTTGTGGCTCACAGCTCACTCTGCACCCTGCTCTCCGTGCAAGCCTCAGTGCAGGCAGCTCAGTCACTTCCTGGGGGCTGCAAGAGCAGCAGCCAGAGCAGAACCCTGTGCTCGGAGCCTCCTGCAATCCCACCCCAAACTGCTGCCCTTTCTGCCCAGGGACCTGTCCTTGGTGGCACAGGGGTTGTTCCAGGTGGGATCCACGTGGAGCTGCCATGGGGACATTCCCACATTTGGGGACCACAGCAGAGCCCCCGCGCTGGGGAGAGCTGCCCTGTGAGTCACGCTGTGAATAAAAATAAAATAAATAAAAATAAACCCCATTTCCCAGTGGGTTCCCCATGGAAATTCCATTTCTGCCCCGGGTTGGAACGGCACCAACACCCCCAGCTCCTCCTGCTCGGCCTGGCTGCCGTCACCCCCAGAGGTGCGATGTCCCCACGCTGCCGGGGGTGACAGGAAACCATCACGGGGACAGAAATACCCGAGGGGGCTGTGAGAAACCACACAGAGCCCCAGCTGCCTCCAAACAACTCTCACCTCCTGCCACAGCTCCCCTGACAGCCGCAATCCCCACGGGGAACCGTCCTACAGGGAGACAGGGCTGGTTCTGGAGGCACAAAAATCAAAACTTTTGTAGTAGAACCAGCTTTTGATTACAAAAGCAAAATTCCTGACAAAAAAGCCCCTCATTTCTGAGCGATTTAAAATGGTTAAAAATGTGAAAATCTTCCCCAAAGCCCCGAAAGATTCATTTCCCCAAACTGCAGTGGGAACTGGCAGTCGACAGCCGCGTGGAAAATCAAATCAAAACACGCAAAACAGGAATGAAACCAAAACTCTCCCGCTGCCCATTTACCCAACTCCAAGGCAGGCACCAATGTTGGAATTCTCCAGGGTATTTTTGTCTGGAGAAGGCAAAATTCATTCAAACTATCATCAAATATTCTCATAAAGTTTTTAATCTGCCTTAGAATGGCTGGAGAGGAAAAATACATTTTACTGCCAGCCTGTAAATGAGCTGGGAGAAGAGAGAGTGAAATTTCATAATTTCATTTTAGTAACCTCTGCCAGCCCAGGTTTGGGTTTTTTCAAAAGAAGTTTCATTTCTGAATAAAAAAGTCTCATTTTTAGAGGTGTTGGGAAATCATTCACTGAGCAAATGAGACACAAAATCAGAGAATGGTTTGGGTTGGAAAGGACCTTGAATATTATTTAGTTATAATGATGAAATAAGTAAAAATTGAATGTCTGTGTTTAAATACAGTGCATGAAATGGGTCTGCTTCAGTTCTCTATTAGCTAATAATGAAATGCTTTCTTGGCTAATAACTAAAACTGGTTTAATAATTATTTAATAATTAATAATCAGGTGGTGCTGGCAGGCGGAGACCCCAAACCTTTGTCACACAGATGACCTGTCCAATGAAAATAATCTATTTATATGCCTACAACCATACTGGCAATGTAGAAATACTAAAAAAAATTGCAAATAAAGGAAAATTACCACATCACCCTGTGCAAAATATCCCTGCTTTGCTTTGTGTCACAATTTCCAATTTGTTTTTTCCCCCGGTGCGTGTCAGGGACGTTTGCAGGGGCTGCCAGTGACTCTGTGGCTCTGAAGGAAGGAGAAAATCTAAACCTGAACTGCACCTTCAGCACCCTCAGCAACCACAACTTCACCCTGCAGTGGCTGAACCCTCGCAATTTCACCATTTTCCTCAATGCCCAGCAGGGTAAGTGTGAAATCAGAGCGGAGGTTGACGCTGGGGACACTGAGCTGGCCCTGCTGCCACCCTGGTGCCAACAGGGGAGGTTGTGGCTGGGCCCAGAGGGTCCTTTGTGGTCACCAGAATTTGGTGCCTTTTGGGGCTACCTAAATACAGAGGCCAGAGAAAATTAAAAGCATAAAAAACAGTGGTTTTCTCTTTATTGAAAGGCCTTTCTGTTTATGGAATGGCCTTCAGGTACATTTAGGGCAGACAAAACCCACCCAAAAATGGACAACGGGTCACAGGTTTCACACTTTTATAAGTTTGGTCCATTTACATTTTGGGGGTGAATCTGCCAATTCCAGCTTCAGCCAATGAAGTCATTGACCCCAAGTTTGCTGCCCCAAATCCCCTTTTGTTTCCATCTCTGGGCCCTGAGGCAGTGAGGTGTCCTTGATTGCCAGGCCTGGAGAGGAATTGTTGTGTCTGCCCCGAATGGGGAAGCAGCTGCTCCCACTGTGTGTGGAGTTTGGAGTTCTGCACTAAAGAACTGCAGGGTTACAAACAGATGGAAAATATAACAATATACTGTTATTGAATATAATTTATTATTATTGGTAGTATTAGTATTAATGTTAAATATAATATCATCTCTTTCAAATATGTAGAAAATAGAAAAGCTGAAATCCTGGAGAGGAATTGTTGTGTCTGTCCCAAATGGGAAACTCCACACTGTGTGTGGAGTTTAGAGTTACACACTAAAGAACTGCAGGGTTACAAATAGATGGAAAATATAATAATATACTATTAATAAACATAATATAGTAGTGGTAGTAGTAGTAGTATCACTAATATTAGTATTAAATATATAATCTCTTTGAAATAGATGGAAAATATAAAATATAAAAGCTTAAATCCTGGAGAGGAATTGTTGTGTCTGCCCAGAATGGGGAAGCAGCAGCTCCCACTGTGTGTGGGGTTGGGAGTTCTGCACTAAAGAACTGCAGGGTTACAAATAGATGGAAAAATAATAATATACTCTTATTAAATATCATTTATTGTTATTGGTAGTAGTAGTGTTAGCATTAAATATGATATCATCTCTTTCAAATAGATGGAAAACATAAAATATAAAATATTAAAGCTGAAATCCTGGAGAGGAATTGTTGTGTCTGCCCAGAATGGGGAAGCAGCAGCTCATAATTTACATGGAGTTTGGAGTTCTGTACTAAAGAACTGCAGGGTTACAAATATGTGAAAAATATAATAATTTACTGTTATTAAATATGATTCATTATTATTATTATTATTAGTAGTAGCGGCATTAGTATTAAATCTAATATATCTTTCAAATCTATAGAAAATATAATAATATACTATTATTAAATATAATTTATTATTATTGGTGGTGGTGGTAGTAGTAGTAGTAGTAGTAATAGCATTAGTGTTAGTATCAAATATAACATCATCTCTTTCAAATAGATGGAAAATATAAAATACAAAAGCTGAAATCCTGGAGAGGAATTGTTGTGTCTGCCCAGAATGGGGAAGCAGCAGCTCCCACTGTGTGTGAAGTTTAGACTTACACACTAAAGAACTGCAGGGTTAAAAATATGTGAAAAATATAAAAATTTACTATTATTAAATATAATTATTATTATTGGTGGTAGTAGTAGTAGTATTAGCATTAGCATTAAATATAATTATCTCTTTCAAATAGATGGAAAATATAAAAATGTACTATTATTAAATATGATTTATTATTATTGGTGGTAGTAGTTAATTGATTAATTAATTAAATTATAAAATTAAATCAAACTAATTAATTCTAAGTTAAATAAATTAATTCTAAAATTAAATAAAATAAATAAATAAATAAAATAAATAAATTAAATCTTGATTCTAAAATGAAAATAAATTCAATAAATTATTCAATTACATTTCTTTAAAATACATTTAATTATTTATTATTTGAATTTATTAAGTAAATTTAATTATAAAATTAAATACCTTTAATTATAAAATTAAAATTATTGGGATTCGCCCAAATTGCTGGGATTTCCTTCCAGCTCAGTATTCTGTCAAAACCTCAGCTAAAAAATAAAATTAAGATTAAAAAGAGAAGTTTTGAGGTCTCTTCCCCCTGCTGTTTGTACAAAGCACAGTTTCAGTTCAGTTTAAGTGCAGAAGTTGCATTTTCTGGGCTGCAATTGTGGGAAAAGTTCATGGATTTGTTGGGTTGAGCCCGAGGACTCCTGAGAATTGTGCAGCAGGAGGGGAGAATTAAAGATCAGAAAGTCAAGAAAGGAGAGTAGAGCTGCCCTGGGAGATGCTTTCATGAAAAAATTAAAACTTTAAAATGCCATAAAATAAAACCTCTCCCCAAGCTGTTGGGAGATTTAGGTGACTAGAGACTGGAAAAGTCCAAAGTCGTGGCTGATTCCAAGTCCTGCACTGTCGCAGACATTTTTTTCACAGAAATCCTTTCTTTGGGACTTGTTCGTTTTCTGGGAAGCTGAGGCCCCAGAAAGAGAATGTAAACAATTGTTATCAGCTGCTGTAAATGCAATAGGATGCACCTGCGATTGGTTCATGTTCCCATGTTTATAATTAAGAGCCAATCGCAGGAGCAAGCTGGGGACAGAGTCCCTGGACACAACTTTGTTAGAGATTCTTTTCTTTCTATTCTTAGAGCAGCAGCCTCTGCAACTTCTCTCTTTATTCCTTTTAGTATAGTTATAATGTATTATACATCATATATCAATAAATCCAGCCTTCTGATCAAGAAACAAGATTCTTTTCCTTCTCTCACCATCCCCAGCGACCCACTCAGGTTGCTGTAATACTGCACCGGTGAGATAGCGCGTCCTTGGGCCTAGCTGGAGTAGGATAACAAATAGTGAGAGAGAGACATGAGAAAAGAGAGGTGTAACCCCTGAGGAATGAGGAAGAGTTCATGGTATAGTTTAACCAATAGAGTGTTTGGCTCACAGAATATTCATAAGCTGATTATTTGCTGTATAAGTGTTTGATGCTTTCTCTAATAAACTGGACCTGTGATGAACCAGCTGGTGTCCTGGTCCCCTTCCTTCGACAGAAAGCTCTCCGCGATAGAAGTGCGGTGTTCTCTGTAATCCGTATCAGGAGCCATAAGTGGTCCGAGGGCCTAGGAGAAGGGAATGAGCGTGCAGATAAATTGGTTACCTTACCCATTGATAACTCTTGTCCTGTTGATAAGCATACCTTAGCAAGAGAAGCCCATAGTGGATAACATCAAAATGCGAAAGGGTTGGTGAGGAACTTTGATTTTGGGCTTATCAGAAGCCAAGGGCATGTCCAATATGCAATTATCATAATGGGGGAATAGGTCTGGGCTGCGGAGTTAATCCTCGAGGTTTAGAAATGAATGAGAAATGGCAAACGGATGCCACGCATGTAGCTAGGTTTGGTAGGCTCCAGTATGTGCATGTTACTATAGGTACATATAGCCACTGTTGGGAAATTTAGGTGACTAGAGACTGGAAAAGTACAAAGCCGTGGCTAATTCCAAGTTCTGCACCTGCTAGATAGCGTGTCCTTGGGCCTAGCTGTAGTAGCATAATAAATAGTGAGAGAGACATGAGAAAAGACAGATGTAAACCCCAAGGAATGAGGAAGAGTTCATGGTATAGTTTAACCAATAGATTGCTTGGCTTACAGAATATTCATGAGCTCATTATTTGCTGTATAAGTGTTTGATGCTTTCTTCAATAAACTGGACCTGTGATGAGCCACCTGGTGTCCTGGTCCCCTTCCTACGACACCAGGCTTTTTTCCTGAGCTGGATTTTCTGTTCGGGCAGTTCTGAGGGACCGGAGGTACAAACTGCTGAGGTACTCCAGGGATGAACTGTCCATCCAGCTCTCCAACCTGACCCTGCAGGACGAGGGGATTTACAGGTGCCTGCACTACACCCGGCACGTCAGAGCCCGCAGCCAGAACGTTCAGATTTTGGGTGAGTTCCCTCCCCTGCTTTGGTTTTGTACCTGGGGCAGAACAGAGCGAGCTCCTCAAGTCCACACCTGAATTTTTCCGTCAATTTTTACGTCAATTTTGCATCAATTTTTACTCCAATTTTTACATCAGTTTTACATCAATTTTTACACCAATTTTTACGTCAATTTTTACATCAATTTTTCCATTTTGCTTTTATCAGTCCCCTCCTGCGGCAGCAGCCACAGAAAGCAGAAAAATCCTTCCCAGAAAAATCCTGGGAAGCTGTGGGATCTTAGAGGAAAAGAATTCAAATAATTATTATCTCTCTTTCTGTAACCATCTGATTTGGATTTGTACCTGGGGCAGAACAGAGCCAGTTCCTCAAATCCACACCTGAATTTTTCCGTCAATTTTTACATCAATTTTTCCATTTTGCTTTTATCAGTCCCCTCCTGCGGCAGCAGCCACAGAAAGCAGAAAAATCCTTCCCAGAAAAATCCTGGGAAGCTGTGGGGAGCTTAGAGGAAAAGAGCTCAAATAATAATTATCTCTCCTTTTGTAACCATCATTTATAAATATGGTTCTCCAGAATTCAAAGAATTCAAGGAATTCAAACAATTCATACAATTATTATCCCTCTTTCTGTAACCATTGTTTATAGATATGGTTCTCTAAAATTCAGAGAATTCAAACAATTCAAAGAATTTTAAAAATTCAAGCATTTATTATCTCTCTTTCTGCCATTGTTTATAGATAAGGTTCTCTAAAAGTCAAAGAATTCAAAGAATTCAAACCATTATTATCTCTCTTTCTGTAACCATTGTTTATAGATATGGTTCTCCAAAATTCAAAGAATTCAAAGAATTATTATCTCTCTGTAACCATTATTTATACAATCTTAGGTTTTAATTGTTTCTATAAAAACTGTAAATTTCTAATTACAAATTCTTACGTTTTCCATTATTTCTATAAGATCTGTAGATTTCTAATAATAAAATACTAGGTTTTAATTTTTTCTATAAAAACTAGATTTCTAACAATAAAACCTTAGGTTTTCCATTGTTTCCATAAGAACTATAAATTTCTAATAATAAAGTCTAAGGTTTTCTATAAGAACTGTAGATTTCTAATAATAAAATCTTATGTTTTAATTTTTTCTATAAGAACTGTAAATTTCTAGTAATAAAGTCTTAGGTTTTCCATAAAAACTGCAGATTTCTAATAATAAATTCTTAGGGTTTCCGTTGTTTCCATAAGAACTGTAATAACAAATAATTTCAATAATAATTAATAATTTAATAATAATTATTTCTAATAATAAAGTGGCCCTCATTCCTTCTGGATCATGGGGTCCATGCTAATTATTACCCAGCTGGGGGCCTGCAACACCCTCCAAAAATGCTGATGGAAAAAAGAAGAAATAATGCTGAAAAAAAAAAAGAAAGAATTCTGATGAAAAAAGGAAAAAATACTGATAAAAAGGAGTAGAAAATTCCCCTAAACTGATGCTAAACCTCCCTGTTTCAGCTCCTCCTTCCCACCCAGTGCTGGAAATCTCCCAGGATGAGGAAAGGGGCATCAAACTCTCCTGCCACACCCGGGGGGGCAGACCCCAGCCCCAGATTTCCTGGCTCTTGGACAACGGCATTGAGCTCCCAGGTAAGAGTTTGAAGGGTCTTTGAGCACTAAAATCGGGGTTTTGGGCAGTTTTGGGGTGGTTTGAAGGTGCTGGAGGGGGAAATATCGGCTGGGTCTGTGATTCACGGCTGCAGCTCCGGGGAACAGTCAGCATGAAATTGCACTGGGGTGAAATAAAGCCAAAATTCCGGAATTTCAGCACTGAATTGCACTGGGATAAATCCCAAAATCCTGGAATTTCAGCATTGAATTGCACTGGGATAAATCCCAAAATCTAGGAATTTCAGCATTGAATTGCACATGGATAAAATAAAGCCAAAATCCTGGAATTTCAGCACTGCATTGCACTGGGATAAATTGAACTCCAAATCCCTGGAATTTCAGCACAAAATTCCACTGGGATAAAACCCAAAATCCTGGAATTTCAGCACTGAATTGCACATGGATAAAATAAAGCCAAAATCCTGGAATTTCAGCACAAAATTCCACTGGGATAAAACCCAAAATCCTGGAATTTCAGCACTGAATTGCACATGGATAAAATAAAGCCAAAATCCTGGAATTTCAGCACAAAATTCCACTGGGATAAAACCCAAAATCCTGGAATTTCAGCACTGAATTGCACTGGGATAAAACAAACCCAAATTCCATGCCTGGAATTTCAGCATGGAATTTCCCAGCCCCAGGAAATCCCCTCAGAGCTGCCTTCGTTCATCCTCGGCTGCCCTTCAGAGCAGCCACTTTTACATGAAAATATGAGACACAAAAATTTAATTGTTCGAAATATAAAAATTCATTGCCTTAATTCACTATTTCTCCAATTTTTGTGTTTTTCTCCATTTTTTGAAGGCTTGGAGTGACTCTCTTTCTCTCCCTCCCCTCCCCAGCTTTAATCACTTGCTGCAAATATTGACACTAATCAGCAAATAGCTAATAAATGTTAATTACTGCCCCCAGCAGGGCTCAGCAGGGCAGGGCAGCTGTGATTGCTGAGCTGCTGCCAAAGATGAGCTCTGGAATCCTTTTGGGGCTCTGGAATCCCTTTGGAGCTCTGGAATCCCTTTGAAGCTCTGGAATCCCTTGGGAGCTCTGGAATCCATTGGGGCTCTGGAATCCCTTTGGAGCTCTGGAATCCTTTTGGGGCTCTGGAATCCCTTTGGAGCTCTGGAATCCTTTTGGAGCTGTGAAATCCTTCTGGAGCTCTGGAATCCTTTTGGGGCTCTGGAATCCTTTCGGAGCTCTGGAATCCTTTTGGGGCTCTGGAATCCTTTCGGAGCTCTGGAATCCTTTTGGGGCTCTGGAATCCTTTCGGAGCTCTGGAATCCTTTTGGGGCTCTGGAATCCCTTTGGAGCTCTGGAATCCTTTTGGGGCTCTGGAATCCCTTGGGAGCTCTGGAATCCTTTTGGAGCTCTGGAATCCTTTCGGAGCTCTGGAATCCTTTTGGAGCTCTGGAATCCTTTTGGGGCTCTGGAATCCCTTTGGAGCTCTGGAATCCTTTCGGAGCTCTGGAATCCCTTTGGAGCTGTGAAATCCTTTTGGAGCTCTGGAATCCTTTTGGGGCTCTGGAATCCTTTTGGAGCTCTGGAATCCCTTTGGAGCTGTGAAATCCTTTTGGAGCTCTGGAATCCTTTTGGAGCTCTGGAATCCTTTTGGAGCTCTGGAATCCTTTTGGGGCTCTGGAATCCTTTTGGAGCTCTGGAATCCTTTCGGAGCTCTGGAATCCTTTCGGAGCTCTGGAATCCCTTTGGAGCTCTGAAATCCCTTTGGAGCTCTGGAATCCTTTTGGAGCTCTGGAATCCCTTTGGAGCTCTGGAATCCTTTCGGAGCTCTGGAATCCTTTTGGGGCTCTGGAATCCTTTTGGAGCTCTGGAATCCTTTCGGAGCTCTGGAATCCTTTCGGAGCTCTGGAATCCCTTTGGAGCTCTGAAATCCCTTTGGAGCTCTGGAATCCTTTTGGGGCTCTGGAATCCCTTTGGAGCTCTGGAATCCCTTTGGAGCTCTGGAATCCTTTTGGAGCTCTGGAATCCCTTTGGAGCTCTGGAATCCTTCCGGAGCTCTGGAATCCCTTTGGAGCTCTGGAATCCTTTTGGGGCTCTGGAATCCTTTTGGAGCTCTGGAATCCTTTTGGAGCTGTGAAATCCTTTTGGAGCTCTGGAATCCTTTTGGGGCTCTGGAATCCTTTTGGAGCTCTGGAATCCTTTTGGGGCTCTGGAATCCCTTTGGAGCTCTGGAATCCTTCCGGAGCTCTGGAATCCCTTTGGAGCTCTGGAATCCTTTTGGGGCTCTGGAATCCTTTTGGGGCTCTGGAATCCTTTTGGAGCTCTGGAATCCCTTTGGGGCTCTGGAATCCCTTTGGAGCTCTGGAATCCTTTTGGGGCTCTGGAATCCTTTTGGGGCTCTGGAATCCTTTTGGGGCTCTGGAATCCTTTTGGAGCTCTGGAATCCCTTTGGGGCTCTGGAATCCCTTTGGAGCTCTGGAATCCTTTTGGGGCTCTGGAATCCCTTTGGAGCTCTGGAATCCTTTTGGGGCTCTGGAATCCTTTTGGGGCTCTGGAATCCTTTTGGAGCTCTGGAATCCCTTTGGGGCTCTGGAATCCATTGGGGCTCTGGAATCCTTTTGGGGCTCTGGAATCCTTTTGGAGCTCTCACCGGGCCCTGCTGGGGATGGAAAAAAGGGTTGAGAAATGCAGAGTTGGGAAGGTTCATTTTATTTTTATTGGGATTGTTTTATTTTATTTTATTTTATTTTTATTGGGAATTTTTTTGTTTCAGGGTAAAAGAGCACAGGGAGCATCAGAAGCTCTGCATTATAAACAGAAATATTTTTAATATTTGTGTCCTTCGGGCAAATATCTGAAATACCTCCACCTCCACACATCTCTGGTTACATTAAATACAATTTTATTTTTTATATCATCGGAATTAGGAGGAGGAGGAGGAGTGGGAATCCCACCAGACTCCCCCTAATTCCTTGTGGCAAAGTAAGGAATCCTCTGTGTAAATTCCAGCAGCTGGGAAAGGGGAAGAGTCAAAGCTGTGCTGTAGGAGAGCAGGATTTCAGGGTGATAGAAATTCTTTTATTTTATTTTATTTTATTTTATGTTATTTTATTTTATTTTATTTTACTTTATTTTATTTTATTTTATTTTATTTTATTCTATTTTATTTTATTTTATTTTTATTTTATTTTATTTTATGTTATTCTTTTTTATTTTATTTTATTTTTATTATTTTATATTTTTTAATATTTTTTACTTTATTTTATTTTATTCTATTCTATTTTATTTTATTTTATTCTATTTAATTTTTTAAATTTTATTTTTATTTTATCTTTTCCTTTTTATTACTTTATTTTATTTTTTTATTATTTTATTTTACTTTATTTTATTCTATTTCATTCTATTTTATTTTTACTTTTTTTTTACTTTATTTTATTCTTTTTTATTATTTTATTTTACTTTATTATTCTATTCTATTCTATTCCATTCCATTCCATTATATTCCATTTGTTTTATTTTATTTTATTTTATTTTATTTTATTTTATTTTATTTTAATCTTTTTTTACTTTATTTTATTTTATTTTATTTTATTTTATTTTATTTTAATCTTTTTTTACTTTATTTAATTTAATTTAGTTTTATTTTATTCTCTTTTATTTTTAATTTTTTTTCTCCCCACGGGCCTGCAGGCGACACCAGGCACGAGCTGGGAGCCGATGGGAGCAGCTGGAGCAGCAGGAGCACCCTGAGGGTCCTGAGCTACAGCCCGGGGGTGACAGTGACAGCCAGCTGTGCCATCGGGCACCCTGCGCTGGGGGCACGGAGACTGCTGGCACCTGTCACCTTCCAGAACCTTCCCAGCCCGGGTACTGCAGCTCTGCCCTCCGATTTCACTGCCCTGAGCTGGTGAAAATGTCCCTGATACACCACAAGTGTGGGGGGTGCTTTGAAATGAGGAATCTGGGGCAAAAAATGAGGAACTGGGGGCAAAAAATGAGGAATTGGGGACACAGAGACTCGTGGCATCTTTCCCCTTCCAGAACCTTCCCAGCTCAGGTACTGCAGCTCTGCTTTCTGATTCAGTGCCCTGAGCTGGTGAAAATGATACAGATACCCACAAGTGTGGGGGGTGCTTTAAAATGAGGAATCTGGGGCAAAAAATGAGGAATAAGGGGCCAAAAAATGAGGAATTGGGGGCACAAAGATTGGTGGCATCCTTTCCCTTCCAGAACCTTCCCAGCTCGGGTACGGCAGCTCTGCTCTCCAATTCACTGCCCTGAGCTGGTGAAAATGATACAGACACCCACAAGTGTGGGGGCTGCTTTGAAATGACGAATCTGAGGCAAAAAATGAGCAATTGGGGGCAAAAAATGAGGAATCGGGGGCAAAAAATGAGGAATTGGGGGCACAAAGATTGGTGGCATCCTTTGCCTTCCAGAACCTTCCCAGCCCGGGTACTGCAGCTCTGCCTCTCTAATTCAGTGCCCTGAGCTGGTGAAAATGTCCCAGACACACACAGAAATGTGTCTTTAAATGAAATGAGGAATCTGGGGCAAAAAATGGGTTTGGGGCTGTTCATCGGTGCCACAGCTGAGCAGCAGCTCCTGCCCCGAGCTCCCCACGGCCAAGTGTGGCATTTATTCCTCATTTCAGGGCAGCAAGGGCAGGAAAGGGCAGGGAAAATATTCTGAGGGCAGGAAAGGGGAGGGTGGGACTGGAAGTGAGACCCCTGATCAGCCAGAAAACCCAATGAACAATGCAGGGCGTGGAGCAGGACAGAAAATCCAAACAAACAATGCAGAGACTGGACCCGGGCAGAAAATCCAAAAAATGCAGAGTATGGAGCAGGGCAGAAAACCCAATAAACAATGTAGGGCATGGAGCAAGACAGAAAACCCAAATAATGCAGAGCATGGAGTAAAGCAGAAAACCCAATAAAAAATCCAGAGCACAGAGCAGGGCAGAAAACCCAATAAACAATGCAGGGCATGGAGCAGGGCAGAAAATCCAATAAAAAATGCAGAGCATGGAGCAGGGCAGAAAACCCAAATAATGCAGAGCATGGAGCAAAGCAGAAATCCAAACAATCCAGAGCATGGAACAGGGCAGAAAATCCAATGAAAAATCCAGAGTATGGAGCAGGGCAGAAAATCCAAATAATGCAGAGCATGGAGCAGGGCAGAAAACCCAATAAACAATGCAGAGAATGGAGCAGGGCAGAAAACCCAAATAATGCAGAGCATGGAGTAAAGCAGAAAACCCAATAAACAATCCAGAGCACAGAGCAGGGCAGAAAACCCAATAAAACATCCAGAGAATGGAGCTGGGCAGAAAATCCAAAAAATGCAGAGTAAGGAGCAGGGTAGAAAACCCAAATAATGCAGAGCATGGAGTAGGGCAGAAATCCAAACAATCCAGAGCATGGAACAGGGCAGAAAACCCAAAAAACAATGCAGAGAATGGAGCAGGGCAGAAAATCCAATAAAAATCCAGAGCAGGGTAGAAAATGCAATAAAAATCCAGAGCAGGGCAGAAAACCCAATAAAAATCCAGAGCAGGGTAGAAAACCCAAATGATGCAGAGCACAGAGCAGGGCAGGATGGTTTTTCAAGGATCTGCTCGGTGGCAAAGTCTCTTCTGATTTTTGTCATTATTTTTGGTGGGTTTCTTCAGGCTGCAAAGAAGCAAGCAGACCTCCAGAAGATGGAGAAGTTCCCAGCTCATCAGAGAGCCCAGAAGTTTCCAGTTCTCCAGGGAATCCAGCAGGTACCAACCCATCTGCATCCCCAGAGAATCCAGAACCTTCCAGCCCTTCTGCATCTCCAAAACAACCAGAAGTTCCCAGCCCTTCTGCATCCCCAGAGAATCCAGAAACTTCCAGCCCTTCAGCATCCCCAAAAGAACCAGAAGTTCCCAGCCCTTCTGCATCCCCAGAGAATACAGAAGTTTCCAGCAGCCCTTCTGCATCCCCAAATGATCCAGGAGTTTCCAGCCCCTCTGTATCCCCAGAGAATCCAGAATTATCCAGCCCCTCTGCATCCCCAGAGAATCCAGAATTATCCAGCCCTTCTGCATCCCCAGAGAATCCAGAATTTTCCAGCCCTTCTGCATCCCCAAAGAATCCAGACATTTCCAGCCCTTCTGCATCCCCAGAGAATCCAGAATTTTCCAGCCCCTCTGCATCCCCAAAAGATCCGAAAGTTTCCATCCCTTCTGCATCTCCAAATGATCCAGGAGTTTCCAACCTTTCTGCATCCCCAGAGAATCCAGAAGCTTCCATCCCTTCTGCATCCCCAAATCCTCCAGGAGTTTCCAGCCCTTCTGCATCCCCAAAAGATCCAGAAGTTTCCATCCCCTCTGCATCCCCAGGGATTCCAGCAGCCCCAGCCCAGCCAAACCTCACGGGCGTCACACTGCGCGGTGAGTTCGGTCTCAGCCCCCTGAATTTCTCAACCCTGAGATGACAATTGCAGAGATGCCGCCGGGCACAGCGGTCCATCCCGCACCCCAGAGCAGTGTGGGACACAGGGCCCAGCGTTTCCTGCTTGTTCCCTCCTTTTCCCTGCCAAAATCCCTCTCCTTGGAGGAGCAGGGTGGGAGCCGGGTTGGGATGCTCTGATGGGCTGCACTAGATGGCACTGTGCAACAATTCTTCACAGAATTCGCAAAATCACAGGATTCACAGAATCACAGAATCACAAATTTGGAGGAAATCCTAAAGATCATCGAGTCCAACCCAGCCCCAACCCCTCAACTCAAACCCTGGCACCCAGTGCCACACCCAGGCTTTGTTAAACACACCCAGGGATGGGGACTGCACCACCTCCCTGGGCAGAACATTCCAGAATTCATCACCATTTCTGTGAAAAACTTTATCACCCTTTCTGTAAAAAAACTTTATCACCCTTTCTCTGAAAAACTTTATCACCTTTTCTATAAAAACCTTTTCCCAATATCCAGCCTGTATTTCCCTTGGTGCAGCTCGAGGCTGTGTGCTCTGGTCCTGCCAGTTCCTGCAGAAAGAGAGGAATTCACGCAGTAGCAAAAGAGGAAGATTTTAGAAAATCTCAGAGAATAGAATGGGGTAGCAGGGGAGGAAATTCTGGGGAGCACAGCTGGAAAAATCAATTTGTTCTAGGAACCAGTGTAAATGATGAAAATGATCACTGGAAGGTTTTGGAAAGGAAAAAGTAGACATAACTAAAGGAAAGGAAAAAGAAATATACAAATATACAAATATACACATTTATACATATATACATCTATACATCTATACATATATACATCTATACATATATATACATATATACATATATACATACATACATATATACAAGGAAAACTATAAATATTTCCTTTTATATATAAACAATATAAATAAATAATATATAAAAAAGGAAATAAAGGAAATATATAAAAGGGAAAATAATACATAACTGCAAAAATGTCTCTTTGCTCCAATCAGATTTGCCCTGCAGGAAAGAATGTTGATTTTTCAGGAATGCATCACTGGGGTGAATAATTCCTGTTTGAATTCCCAGCACATTTAACAGCACGATCCTCTGTTACAGAGCAAAATCCCGAATCCAAAGGGCTCCTGAGGAAGGAGAAGAATCTCCTGCTGCCCATGCTGGTGGCTGCTCTGGTCCTGGTGCTGCTCATCATCGTGCTGCTGTTCGTGGTGAAGCTGAAGAAAGCGCACGGGGTGTGGAAGAGAGGTGAGGAATGGGAATTGGGGGGGTCAAGGCCATCCCTGGGGTGCTCAGAGTGAGAAATCTCCAATTTGGGACTCTCTGGATTTTTGTGAGATTATGTGATCTCTGTCAAGGTAATGAGGTGCCCATTTTCTAACTCTTCTCTCAGGGTTTTTGTAAGATGATGATGTATGAGGTGATGGTGATCTCTGTCAGACTGATAAATCCCCATTTTCTAACTTTTCTCTCAGGATTTTTATGAGATGATGGTGATCTCTCTCAGGCTGATAAGATCCCATTTTAGGACTCTTCTGTCATGATTTTTGGGAGACGATGGTGATCTCTGTCAAGCTGATAAAATCCCCATCTTGCGACTCCTCTCTCACAGTTTTTGTGAGATGATGGTGATCTTTCTCAGGCTGAGAAATCCCCATTTTCTAACTTTTCTCTCAGGATTTTCGTGAGGTGATGCTGATCTTTCTCAGGCTGATGAGATCCCATTTTGTAGCTCTTAGGATTTTTGTGAGATGATGGTGTGTGAGATGATGGTGATCTCTGTCAGGCTGACAAATCCCCATTTTGTGACTCTTCTCTCAGAATTTTTGTAAGATGATGGTGATCTCTCTCAGGCTGATAAATCCTCAATTTCTAACTCTTTTCTCAGGATTTTTATGAGATGATGGTGATCTCTATCAGGCTGATAAAATCCCCAAATTATGATTCTTCTCTCAGGATTTTTATGAGATGATGTTGATCTCTGTCAGGCTTTTAAATCCCCATTTTCTAACTCTTCTCTCATTATTTTTATGTGATGATGGTGATCTCTGTTGGGATGATGAGATCCCCATTTTGTAGCTCTCAGGATTTTTATGAGATGATGCTGGATGAGATGATGGTGATCTCTGTCAAGCTGATAAATTCCCAATTTATGACTCTTCTCTCAGGATTTTTTTTGTGAGGTGATGGTGTATGAGGTGATGGTGATCTCTGTCAGGCTTAGAAAATCCCCATTTTTTAACTCTTCCCTCAGGATTTTTGTGAGATAATGGTGATCTCTGTCAGGCTGAGAAATCCTCATTTTGTGACTCTTCTGTCAGAATTTTTATGCTCAAGGCAAAGTGTGAGAAGGAATAATGGAAAAAAAAAATCTCATTCTCATAATTAAAATGCATGCGGTTTTAATTATTTAATTATTTTAAAATTCATTTCTGTTTCTAAATTGTTTAATTTTTTTTATTTCATTTAATTAAATTTAAATAATTTAATTGTTTAAAATAATTTTTGGGGTTTTTTCCACAGAAAATGATGTTTCAGAGCAAACACTGGAGAGTTATAAATCCAGATCTAATGAAGAGAGTCCAGGCCATGAGAAGAATGGGCAAGGTAAAAATCTTTAATTAACATATTCTTGGAAATATGTTCCTGTTTTCAATAACAAATAATTCTTGTTTTATTTAATTATAATAAATAATTATCATAATAATATTATAAATTTTACAATATTTTAATATTCAATTAAAGTTATATTTAATTATAATAAATAATTCTTGTTGTATTATAATTTGTTTAATTATAATGTTGTATACAACATTATAATAATTATAGTGTTGTGTTATAATTTGTTTAATTATAATAAATAATTACCATAATAATATTATACATGTTATAATAATTATAATATCCAATTAATATTATAATAGTTAATTGGAAGAAATAATTCTTGTTTATTTAATGATAATAAATATTTCTTGGTTTATTTAATTGCTGCTGACTGTGGCCAGAGCAGGTGGGGACCATAAATACTAAATAATGATAATGATAATATTGATAATGATAATGTTAATGATAATAATGATAATAATGATAATGATGATGATGATGATAATGATAATAATAATAATAATAATAATAATAATAATAATTTTACTAAATATTATTTAAAATAATAAATACTAAATACTAAATATAATAAATAATAAATAATAAATAGTAAATAATGAATAATTAATACGTGCTGGTTTTTAGCTGGAAATCCCAAATCCAACATGCAATATGTAACAGAAGAACACGTGGAAACCCCAGAGAAGAACCTGGAAACCCCAGAGAAAAATCCAGAAAGGCCAGAGAAGAACCCAGGTGACAAAAGCACGGCAATAAATGAGGAAATATTCACGTGTGGAAGGGAGACAGACGTGTAACAGCGCAGGAAACTGCAATTTCCTGATATTTATGTTAAAGGTTTCAGGGATCTTGGTTTGAAGGAGCAGGAGGGACAGGGAGCTCCATCTGGGGGTGCTTTTGTCCTGGAGACCTGGCCTGATTCACCTGGGACCTTCAGAACATGTCAGGAACCTCTGCCACCTACAGCTCAGCACCCCCAGCAGCAATCAGCACCCTGAGAGGACATCCAGACCCAAATTAGGACATTTATGGTTGATTTTGTCACCTCCTCTGTGACCACAGGTGCTACAAACCCGCTGTGACTTTTCTTTTCTCCCTGGGACTCCAAACCAGGAAACGTGGCCTGAGTTACCTGGGACCTTCAGAACATGGCAAGAACCTCTGCCACCATCAGCTCAGCACCCTCAGTGCCCTGGCAGGACATCCAGACCCAAATTAGGACATTTATGGTTGATTTTGTCACCTCCTCTGACCACAGGTGCTACAAACCCGCTGTGACTTTTCTTTTCTCCATGGGACCCCAAACCTGTCACTGAGCAGGGCAGGGAGGTGGGGCTGGAGCTCCTGCAGACCTGGCCTGAATCACCTGGAACCTTCAGAGTGTGTCATGAACCTCTGCCATGAACAGCTCAGCACCTCAGGAAACCTGGTCTGAGACACCTGGGACCTTCAGAGCATTTCAGGAACCTCTGCCACCAACAGCTCAGCACCTCAGGTGTCCCTGCAAACCTGGCCTGGGTTACCTGGGACCTTCAGAACACGTCAGGAACCTCTGCCATGAACAGCTCAGCACCCTCAGTGCCCTGGCAGGACATCCAGACCCAAATTAGGATATTTATTATTGATTTTGTCACCTCCCCTGTGACCACAGGTGCTACAAACCAGATGTGACTTTTCTTATCTCCATGGGACCCCAAACCTGTCACCCAGCCGGGCAAGGAGGTGGGGCTGGAGCTCCTGAAAACCTGGCCTGAATCACCTGGAACCTTCAGAACATTTCACAGACCTCTGCCATGAACAGCTCAGCACCTCAGGAAACCTGGTCTGAGACACCTGGAACCTTCAGAACACGTCAGGAACCTCTGCCACCATCAGCTCAGCACCCTCAGTGCCCTGGCAGGACATCCAGACCCAAATTGGGACATTTATGGTTGATTTTGTCACCTCCTCTGTGACCACAGGTGCTACAAACCCGCTGTGACTTTTCTCTCTTCTCCCTGGGACCCCAAACCTGGACTTGCAGCTGGGTTTAACCGAGCTGGGAAGCGGCATGGTGGTTAAAGGGTTAAAAATTAAAAAAGAACAGAAATTGACCCAAATTATTTGATGGTTCTGTGAAGGGGATGTTCCCCATGGGCTGCCCAAATGGGGCAGCAGGAGAGCTGGGACTCCTCCAGGGCTTTCCAGGAGCCCTTCCTGCTCCAGGAGGGTAAAATTCAATCCCTAAAATAAAGGAAATATGAATTACAACCATTTTTGCCATTTGCAGAATCCCAGAATATTGATTTAAGCGTGAATTACAATTATTTTTGCCATTTGCACTATCGCAGAATGGTGATTTATGTTTAAATGTGAATTACACTGATTTTTGTCAGAATCACAGAAATAATTCCATGTTTCAGTGGAAATAATTCCATTTTCCAATGGAATAATTCCATGTTTCAGTGGAAATAATTCCATTTTTCAGTGGAAATAGTAATTCCATGTTTCAGTGGAAATAATTTCACGTTTCAATGGAAACAATCCCATTTTTCAGTGGAAGTAATTCCACGTTTCAGTGGAAATACTTCTGTGTTTCAATGGAAATAATTCCGTTTTCCAATGGAAATAACTCCATGTTTCAGTGGAAATAATCCCATTTTTCAGTGGAAGTAATTCCACGTTTCAATGGAAATACTTCTGTTTTCCAATGGAAATAATTCCGTTTTCCAATGGAAATAACTCCATGTTTCAATGGAAATAATTGCAGTTTCCAATGGAAATAATTCCATGTTTCAGTGGAAATAATTCCGTTTTCCAATAGAAATAATTCCATTTTCCAATGGAAACAATAATTCCAGTTTTCAGCGGAACGCGGCGGCTCCCGGGCGCTACCACCGGGCCCGCGGGAGGGGGGGATCCGCGCTCCCCCCGCCCCGGTGGGTGCGGCCGGCGTCCGCGGGGTTGCCGTGGCAACGGGGACAGCGCGGCACGGCCCAGAACGGGCCCGGCCCGGCACGGCGGGACAGGGACAGGGACAGAGACACGGGAACGGCGGTGAGAGGGACACGGACACGGACACGGGACAGAGACACGGGAACGGCGGTGAGAGGGACAGGGACACGGGACAGGGACACGGGAACGGCGGTGAGAGGGACAGGGACACGGACACGGGACAGGGACAGGGACACGGGAACGGCGGTGAGAGGGACACGGACACGGACACGGGACAGAGACACGGGAACGGCGGTGAGAGGGACAGGGACACGGGACAGGGACACGGGAACGGCGGTGAGAGGGACAGGAACACGGACACGGGACAAGGACAGAGACACGGGAACGGCGGTGAGAGGGACAGGGACACGGACACGGGACAAGGACAGAGACACGGGAACGGCGGTGAGAGGGACAGGGACACGGACACGGGACAGGGACAGAGACACGGGAACGGTGGTGAGAGGGACAGGGACACGGACACGGGACAGGGACAGGGACACGGGAACGGCGGTGAGAGGGACACGGACACGGACACGGGACAGGGACAGAGACACGGGAACGGCGGTGAGAGGGACACGGACACGGACACGGGACAAGGACAGAGACACGGGAACGGCGGTGAGAGGGACAGGGACACGGACACGGGACAAGGACAGAGACACGGGACAGGGACACGGGAACGGCGGTGAGAGGGACAGGGGCAGGGACACAGGACAGGGACACGGGAACGGCGGTGAGAGGGACAGGGACAGGGACACGGGACAGGGACACGGGACAGGGACACGGGAACGGCGGTGAGAGGGACAGGGACACGGACACGGTACAGGGACACGGGAACGGCGGTGAGAGGGACACGGGACAAGGACAGGGACACGGGACAGGGACATGGGACAGGGACACAGGAATGGGCCGGGAACAGCCGTGAGAGGGACAGGGACATGGGAATGGGACACAGGACAGGGACACGGGACAGGGACATGGGAGAGGGTGACATGGACACAGGACAGGGACACGGGACAGGGACATGGGAGAGGGTGACATGGGCACCGGACAGGGACACAGGACAGGGACATGGGAACAGCAGTGACAAGGAAAGGGACATGGGAACAGCAGGGACAGGGACACGGAATAGGAGAGAGGGACATGGGAGCAGAGAGAGTGAGAGGGACTTGGGACACAGGAGGGGACGGAGACAGGGACATGGGACAGGGACACGGGAACAGCGGGGACAGGGACATGGGACAGGGACAGGGCACCAGGGAATGGGGGACTGGGAGAGGGGACAGCGGTGAGGGGACAGGGAGGCAGGATCGGGGACAGCAGACCAGGTAAGGGACATGGAACAGGGGACAGGGGATGAAGGGGATGGGACAGAGGACCTGGGACAGGGACAGGGATGGAGAGAGGGAACAGGGACAGGGGGTGAGGGAAAGGGGACAGGGAACTGGGACAGGGGACAGGAGAGAGGAGATGGGGATGGGGGACCAAGACGGGAGATCAGGGACACAGAGTGGGGACAGGGAATGCGGGGTTGGGAGTGGGTGAGGACACTGGGGACAGGGGACAGGACTGGGTGAGGGACATGGCAGAAGGGACACAGGAGAGGGGACTGGGGCTGAGAGGAGGCAGGGACAGGGAGCTGGGGACAGGGGAGGCCTCGGGGACACAGTGGCTTTCCTCTGGGACTGAGGTCTGTTCCAGGCCAGGAGATTCCCCATTCCCTGCCCATCCCAGCGCTGCCCTGGTGGGAGCAGGGGACACAGGGGACACAGGGGACAGTCCAGCTGTCAGGGCTGCCTGCAGGGTGATCTCAGGGTAAAATATCCAAAATCCTTTATCCCCAGGGGCTGAGGTGACACTGCCTGTGCATGTCTGGTGCCAGGTGTGCTGGCACTGGTGCACATCTGAGAACAGAAAGCTCAGCACAGAAAGCTCAGCACAGAAATCTCAGCACAGAAATATCAGTACTGAAAATTCAGCACAGAAATCTCAGCACAGAAAGCTCAGCACAGAAAGCTCAGCACAGAAATATCAGCACAGAATTCTCAGTATTGAAATCTCAGCACAGAAATCTCAGTACTGAAAATTCAGCACAGAAATCTCAGCACAGAAATCTCAGCACAGAAAGTACAGAAAGCACAGAAATCTCAGCACAGAATTCTCAGCACAGAAAGCACAGAAAGCTCAGCACTGAAAATTCAGCACAGAAATCTCAGCACAGAATTCTCAGCACAGAAAGCACAGAAAGCTCAGCACTGAAAATTCAGCAAAGAAATCTGAGCACAGAAATCTGAGCACAGGAATCTCAGCACAGGAATCTCAGCGCAGAAAGCACAGAAAGCTCAGCACAGAAAATTCAGCACTGAAAATTCAGCACAGAAAGCTCAGCACAGAAATATCAGCACAGAATTCTCAGTATTGAAATCTCAGCACAGAAAGCTCAGCACAGAAATCCCAGCACAGAATTCTCAGCACTGAAAATTCAGCACAGAATTCTCAGCACAGAATTCTCAGCACAGAAATCTCAGCACAGAAAGCACAGAAAGCTCAGCACTGAAAATTCAGCACAGAAACCCCAGCACAGAATTGTCAGCACAGAAATATCAGCACAGAAATATCAGTACTGAAAATTCAGCACAGAAATATCAGCACAGAAATATCAGCACAGAAATCTCAGTACAGAAATCTCAGCACAGAACAGCTCAGCATAGAAATCTCAGCACAGAAAGTACAGAAAGCTCAGCACTGAAAATTCAGCAAAGAAATCTCAGCACAGAAATCTGAGCACAGAAATCTCAGCATTGAAATCTCAGCACAGAAATATCAGCACAGAAATCTCAGCACAGAAATCTCAGCACAGAACAGCTCAGCACAGAAATATCAGCACAGAAAGCTCAGCACTGAAAATTCAGCACAGAAATCTCAGTACAGAAATCTCAGCACAGAAAGCTCAGCACAGAACAGCTCAGCACAGAACAGCTCAGCACAGAAAGCACAGAAAGCTCAGCACAAAAAATTCAGCACTGAAATCTCAGCACAGAAATCTCAGCACAGAAAGCACAGAAAGCTCAGCACAAAAAATTCAGCACTGAAATCTCAGCACTGAACACTCCTTGTCCTTCTCCCACCTCACCTGGGGAACATCTGGAAGTGCAAACAATTCCTGAACACTTCAGCTGAGTGTAAAGAAATTCTCACCCTAATTTAGACACACCCTAAATTCACCCCATCCCACCTTCTGCTGCTTTTACATGGCCAGAGGGTCTGCAGAGAACAAACAAAATTCATTTTAACTCTCAGAGTTAACATATAACAGATGCTTTGCCTCACTTTAATTCTCTTTGCCCCAAGCTGCTTTTGCATTATTTATTAATATTATCCCCAATAGTTGAGATTTCATAGCAGTACATTCAGGAAAATCAGATGAGAACAGAGAATTGTTTGAACAATAGGAGGTCAAATTCTGAGCCTAAGCCAATGGTAGCAGCGAAATGCAGCTTCTAAATGTTATTAAAATGCATTTTATGTGTTCTCCAAGCAAAATACAGCTTTTAAACATTATTGAATATGTTTAAATATTATTTAAATATTATTAAATATTATTTAAATATTATCAAATGTTGTGTGCTCTACAAATAAGATGCAGCTTTTCAATATTATTAGAAGGCATTTCATGTGTTCTCCAAACAAAATGCAGTTTTTAAGTATTATTAAAATGCATTTTATGTATTCTCCAAAGAAAATTCAGTTTTTAAATACTATTAGAATGTTTTATATTCTAATAGTATTTAGCAAAATGCAGCTTTTAAATATTATTAAATATGTTTAAATATTATTTAAATATTATTAACATGCTTTATGTGTTCTGCAAACAAAACGCAGCTTTTAACTATTATTCAATATGTTTGAATATTATTTAAATATTATTTAAATATTGTTAACATGCTTTATGTGTTCTCCAAACAAAATGCAGTTTTTAAGTATTATTAAATATGTTTAAATATTATTTAAATATTATTTAAGTATTATTTAAATATTATTTAAATATTGTCAAATGTTTTATGTGTTCTTCAAAGAAAATGCAGTTTTTCAATATCATTTAAATATTATTTAAATACTATTAACATGCTTTATGTGTTCTCCAAACAAAATGCAGTTTTATAAATATTATTAAAATATTTTCTGTGTTCTCCAAACAAAATTCAGTTTTTAGATACTATTAGGATATTCTATGTGTTCTCCAAAGAAAATGCAGTTTTCAAGTATTATTAAATGTGTTTAAATATTATTTAAATATTATTTAAGTATTATTAAAATATTTTCTGTGTTCTCCAAACAAAATTCAGTTTTTAAATACTATTAGGATGTTCTATATTTTCTCCAAACAAAATGAAGTTTTATAAATATTATTAAAATGCATTTTATGTATTCTCCAAACAAAATGCAGTTTCTAAATATTATTACAATCTTTTCTGTGTTCTCCAAACAAAATTCAGTTTTTAAATACTATTAGGATGTTCTCTGTGTTCTCCAAAGAAAATGCAGTTTTTAAGTATTATTGAAATGCACTTTATGTGTTCTCCAAACAAAATGCAGTCTTCAAGTATTATTAAATATGTTTAAATATTATTGAAATATTATTTAAGTATTATTAAAATATTTTCTGTGTTCTCCAAACAAAATTCAGTTTTTAAATACTATTAGGATATTCTATGTGTTCTCCAAAGAAAATGCAGTTTTTATGTATTATTGAAATGCACTTTATGTGTTCTCCAAAGAAAATGCAGTTTTTAAGAATTATTTAAATATTATTTAAATATTGTTTAAATATTATTTAAATATTATTTAAATACTATTTAAATATTATTAAATGTGTTATGGGTTCTCCAAACAAAATTCAGTTTTTAAATACTATTAGGATGTTCTATGTGTTCTCCAAACAAAATGCAGTCTTCAAGTATTATTAAATATGTTTAAATATTATTGAAATATTATTTAAGTATTGTTAAAATATTTTCCGTGTTCTCCAGCGCAGGGCTGCCGTGATCCGCCGGTGCCAGGCAGGGCATGAACCCTTCCGCCATGAAATTCCTTTCCGTCTCTTCCCCGCTCCCTCACCCCCCCGGCAGCATCCAGGTGCCCCCAAAAACCCTGGTGCCCCCCGTGTTCCAGGCTGCCAGCTGGGCACGGGGCAGCAGCTCTGCCTCCAGCGCTGAGGATTCCCCGGATTCCGGCTCGGAGGGCCTGGAAAAGCAGCGGCAGCTCCAGCAGAGCGTCCTGCAGAACCGGGGGCTGCCAGGGCACGAGCGTGGGGACACCCCGGAGGGGGACAGCGCCGATGGGGACAGCCTGGAGGAGACGAGCTCTGCAGAGGAAGGAGCCGAGCGCGACGCAAGAAAAGCAAAGATTTGTGGGAGGTAAGGCGCAAAGCTTGAGCGGAGCGAAATAATTCTGGCGTTTTTAATCTGATGTTCGCAGAATCACAGAAATTCTAGGTTGGAATCACAGAATCACAGAATCACAGAAATTCAAGGCTGGAAAAGACCTATAAGATCATCAAGTCCAACCCGTGTTCTAACTATTCAACTAGATCATGGCAGCAAGTGCCACATCCAGTCTTTTTTTGAACTCCTCGAGGGATGATGACTCCACCACCTCCCTGGGTAGATGATTCCAGTATCTGACCACTCTTTCTGTAAAATACTTCCTCCTTAATTCTAACTTGCATCTCCCTTGACGCAGCTTGAGACCGTGTCCTCTTGTTCTATCTGTTGTTGCCCGGAGAAAGAGACCGACCCCCAGCTCACCACAGCCACCCTTCAGGAAGTTGTAGAGAGTGATGAGGTCACCCCTGAGTCTCCTTTTCTCCAGGCTGAACAACCCCAGCTCCCTCAGTCGTTCCTCATACGGCTTGTGCTCCAAGCCCCTCACCAGCCTCGTTGCTCTCCTCTGGACACGCTCAAGCCTCTCAACGTCCCTCCTAAAGTGAGGGGCCCAGAAGTGGATACAATACTCCAAGTGAGGCCTCACCAGTGCCGAGTACAGGGGAAGAATGACCTCCCTGCTCCTGCTGGCCACACCGTTCCTGATACTGGCCAGGAGCCATTGGCCCTCTTGGCCACCTGGGCACACTGCTGGCTCATGTTCAATCGACTGTCAACCAGCACCCCCAGGTCCCTTCCCACCTGAGCACTGTCCAGCCACACCGTCCCCAGCTTATATCGGTGCAGGGGGTTATTGTGGCCGAAGGGACCTTTGAGATTATTACAGCGACCTGAGGTGGTCGCTGGGGTGAGAGAAAGACGAGAATCTTGTTTCTTGATCAGAAGGCTGGATTTATTGATATATTATTACAGCAACCTGTGGTGGTCGCTGGGGATGAGAGAAGGACGAGAATCTTGTTTCTTGATCAGAAGGCTGGATTTATTGATATATGATATATAATACATTATTACTATACTAATAGAAATAAAGAGAGAAGTTGCAGATGCTGGTAAGCTAAGAATAGAAAGAAAAGAATCTATAACAAAGTTGTGTCCAGGGACTCTGTCCCCAGCTTGCTCTTGTGATTGGCCCTTAATTATAAACATGGGAACATGAACCAATCGCAGGTGCATCCTATTGCATTTACAGCAGCCGATAACAATTGTTTACATTCTCTTTCTGGGGGCCCTTGCTTCCCAGAAAATGCACAAATCCCAAAGAAAGGATTTCTGTGAAAAAATGTCTGCGACAATAGATGATATATAATACATTATAACTATACTTTGCGACAATATATGATATATAATACATTATAACTATACTAAATAGAATAAAGAGAGAAGTTGCAGAGCTGCTAAGCTAAGAATAGCAAGAAAAAATCTATAACAAAGTTGTGTCTAGAGACTCTGTCTTTAGCTTGCTCTTGTGATTGGCTCTTAATTATAGACATGGGAACATGAACTAATCACAGGTGCATCTTATTGCATTCTACAGCAGCTGATAACAATTGTTTACATTCTTTTCTGGGGTCTTTGCTTCTCAGAAGATGCAGAAATCTGAAAGAAAGGATTTCTATGAAAAAATGTCTGCGATTTCTATGAAAAAAGATCATCGAGTCCAACCCATGTTCTATCAGCTCAACTAGATCCTGGCACCAAGTGCCACATTCAGTCTTTTTTTAAACTCTTCGAGGGATGGTGACTCTTCTGTGGAGAGCTTGGTTCAAACATGGCTTAAAGAAAGAGGCCATGAAAATATACAGCTGATGGAAAAGTAAAAGGCAGCTGTAAGCAGCAGTTTCCCAAGCCCGTTTCTGTAAATAACTCGGTTCTCAGGCACATTTTTCTAAACAGCAGGGTTCTCAGGCAGTTTTCTCATAACAGGTAAACATTCTGTCTTTGGCTGTTTTGGGAACAGACATGGAGGTTTTGAGAACCACTTATATCAGGGTGAGAACATAAATCTTGGTTTCAATAAACAAACCACAGGCGTTGAAAACAAAAGGAGGGGTTAGTGTTTAATCTGTAAGCTACGGTGAGCTCAGATTTTGCAATATGCCTGAACTTAATTAACGCGGTTATAAAAAGTGACTGATTGAATCAATAAATCGGAGTTCGATGCTCATCAATCGGATGGTCGTCTCCCTTCACTCCAATACTCCACCACCTCCCTGGGTGGATGATTCCAGGATTTGACCCCTCTTTCTGTGAAAAATTTCCTCCTTAATTCCAGCCTGTATCTCCCTTGGCGCAGCTTGAGACTGTGTCCTCTTGTTGTTCCTCAAGGCCGCGTTGAAACATCCTTCAGAAGGCATTAACTGGGTGCATAAAATAAAGTTGAATATCCTGCCATATGCATGGAAGGTTTAACCCTGGATAAATTGGGAATAATTCTTGAGTTTGAAGGGATTACATTAAACCCCAAGTAATAACGACGCGCAGTTTCAATTTAATAGTCTACTTAAAATGAAATGACAAACAAATGAAGGCTAAATGATTAATAGCATGCTTTTATTCACCTCCTCAACAAGAAAAATGGCCAGTTATTGAATATTTTATTGTGAGTGCAAATGATGTTAATTGTACTAGAAACACGCTCTAATTTTTAGTAATTTTTTTGGACTGAATGCTGTGCTGAATGTGAGGCTCTTCATTAAATGGAAATTTGATTTTATTTTGTTTGAACTCATCCCAGTAAGCACTCCAGCGCAGTCCATTAAGCAGAGCAAATATCACAGCACATCCACATGAAACCCCCTCTCTACATCCATTACCAAGCTGGGAATTTGAAGAGGAAATGCTGCAGCTGTCGTGTGCTCACCACACTTTTGTTGAGCAGCACAGGGTCCATCCAAGCTCCCCAGGAGCAATAAAAGGTGCCCTTTTTGTCTGCCCACGATGAGGGATGAAGGAGCTCTTCACACTCATTTTGGTGACCCGGGCTGAGCCCCACGGTCGGGTTCTGTGCACACATTTCTGCACAAAGGGGCTCTTTAGCATTATCCTGTGCCATTTCAATCATTGCAATTAGCTCACATATTTCTGGACTCGCTTCAGAGCAGCCTCAGCTCGTGCTGTTTACCTGCAGATGGGAATAATGAGATTTTTCCCTGGTGGAAATCAGCTCCAGGAGACCACGGCAGCCATGCCCACCTGGAAAGCAAAGAAAAACTGATTATTTTGTTATTTGGAACCACTTGAAATATAGGCAGAGGCATGAAAGGATGAATAAATGATTTAATTTTTTTTAATATCATTAACAAGGCCACAAGGTGAGGAATCCAGCAGATTTGTGTAACAGGAGCTGAAGAATCAACCAGGTTTCAGTGGCTGTAAATGTGCCCAGGGCTGTGCTGCAGATCTAGGGAAGAAAAAAATATGTTGAAAATAAATAGAAATATAGGCAGAGGCGTGTAACTCGTTGAGAAAGGATTAATAAAAGTTTTTTTTTTTTTTAATATCATTATCAAGGCCACAGGTTGAGGAATCCAGCAGATTTCTTTAATAGGAACCAACCAGGTTTCAGTGCCTGTAAATGTGCCCAGGGCTGTGCTGCACGTCCAGAGATGGAAAAACTGTGTTAAAAATATATAGAAATATAGGCGGAGGCATGTAACTCATTGATAAAGGATGCATAAATTATTTATTTATTTATTTATTAATATCATTAACAAGGCCACAGGTTGGGGAATCCAGATTTCTGGAACAGGAGCTGAAGAATCAATCAGGTTTCAGTGGCATCCCCAGGGCTGTGCTGCAGGTCCACGGAAGAAAAATTTGTATTAAAAATATATAGAAATATAGGCAGAGACATGTAGCTCATTGAGAAAGGATGAATAAATTATTTCATTTTTTTAAAATATCATTAATAAGCCCACAGGTTGAGGAATCCAGCAGATTTCTGTCACAGGAGCTGAAGAACCAACCAGGTTTCAGTGCCTGTAAATGTCCCCAGGGCTGTGCTGCAGGTCCACAGAAGAAAAATTTGTATTAAAAATAAATAGAAATATAGGCAGAGGCGTGTAACTCGTTGAGAAAGAATTAATAAATTATTTAATTTTTTAAATATCATTAATAAGCCCACAGGTTGGGGAATCTGTAACGGGAGCTGAAGAACCAACCAGGTTTCAATGGCTGTAAATGTGCCCAGGGCTGTGCTGCAGGTCCAGGAAAGAAAAAGTTCTGTTAAAAATAAACAGAGATATAGGCAGAGGCATGAAGCTCACTAAAAATGGATGAATAAATTAATTATTATTTTTTAAATATCATTAATAAGCCCCCAGGTTGAGGAATCCAGCAGATTTCTGTCACAGGAGCTGAAGAGCCAACCAGGTTTCAGTGGCTGTAAATGTCCCCAGGGCTGTGCTGCAGGTCCAGGGAAACAAAAATTGTGTTAAAAATAAATAGAAATATAGGCAGAGGCATGTAAATCATTGAGAAAGGATGAATAAATTATTTCATTTTTTTTAATATCATTAACAAGGCCACAGGTTGAGGAATCCAGCAGATTTCTGTAACAGGAGCTGAAGAATCAGTCAAAGGCTGTAAATGTGCCCAGGGCTGTTCTGCAGGTCCAGGGAAGAAAAAATTGTGTAAAAATAAATAGAAATATAGGAAAATGCATGTAACTCATTGAGAAAGGATGAATAAATGATTTCATTTTTTAAAATATCATTAACAAGGCCACAGGTTGGGGAACCCAGCAGATTTCTGTCACAGGAGCTGAAGAATCAACCAGGTTTCAGTGCCTGTAAATGTCCCCAGGGCTGTGCTGCAGGTCCAGGGAAACAAAAATTGTGTTAAAAGCTTTTTTTTCTCCCCCATTCCTTCCACCTGCACAGCTCCTGGCAGCCTGTTTGGATGGATTTGACTCCTGCAGTTGCTTTTCCTGCCATTGGATCAGATTTTCAATCAGAAATTGGCTCAGTTGGGGATTTTTTAAAGCAGAGCATCTGGCTGTGCTTTATGACAAATGTAACTCAAAGCGGTAATTTGGCCACTTGTTAAAAAATTGCCAAAAACACAGAATCTCCATTTATGTTTTTCTACTCTTATCTAATCACTGCCTGTTTTTAATAAAAAATGATTTAAATCTTTTCTAGAAGGAGTTTTTAATCAAAACATCAGGATGTTTCACAGGAATGAGGAGAGAAAATAAGAACGCAGAGCTTGTTTGGACAGTCTCAAAAGGACACTTGAAATCTGATTTTACCAGGAATTTCGCTTTTATTTGGACAGTCTCAAAAGGACCCTTGAAATCTGATTTTACCAGGAATTTCACTTCTATTTGGACAGTCTCAAAAGGACACTTGAAATCTGATTTTACCAAGAATTTCACTTTTATTTGGACAGTCTCAAAAGGACCCTTGAAATCTGATTTTACCAGGAATTTCGCTTTTATTTGGACAGTCTCAAAAGGACACTTGAAATCTGATTTTACCAGGAATTTCACTTTTATTTGGACAGTCTCAAAAGGACACTTGAAATCTGATTTTACCAGGAATTTCACTTTTATTTCACTCAGCAGAGCCTTTGAAGAAGGAACAACACAAATTGCCTTTTGTAGACTGTCACGTTTAAGGAGACAACAGAACAATGCAATTTATCATTTTCACCTTTTAGCTGATTCTGCTAGAATTTAAAAATTTCCATGCCAAATTTAGGATAATGATTGTATCCCACTGTGATCTGAGTGTTAGAATTTATCATTCACTGATGATGGGAATTAAAAAGGGAGAGGAATTCCTGCCTAAACGTTCTATCAAAAAATCTTTGATAAAACTCTTCTGATGCTGAAATAATTCATTTAGCCACAGCAGGACATCTGTTTGCACACTGAAATAATGCAGAATTTGTACCATTTATACAGAAATAATTTGGTTTTTGGTTTTTTTTTAATTAGGAAACAACAGCCTACGGACAAATATTCCAGCCTGAGGTACAATCCTCATTGGAAGAATGCAAAAAAAGGAGATTTTTTTGAGGCAGAGAAGGCACCCCAGATTTTTGGAGGAAGCAGTGGGGACTTTTCAGTGGATTCATTTTATCTCCACTCTGATGGCTCCTCAGAGGGCAATCACCAGAGCCAGGATTCACTCCCAGAGATTGATCCTGAATTATTCACATTTTACGGAGCAAACGTGGCCGGCACCAAACCCGATGGGCCACAAACCAAAAGGGAGGAACCTGCAGATGGATTTCATTCCAAAAATCATCCTGGCCACGCTTTTCCTCCTCAGAACCAGCAGGATCCACCCCAAAGAGCAAAAAAAAACTTTGTGAAAAAGAACAAACGGACTTTGGGACAGTCAGAGAGGATCAATTCCTACCTTGAGCTGCACCATAAAAAGCAGCAAGTTCTTCAAGGGCAGGTGGGTAAATGTAGAAATTCCCTAAATTTTATACATTTAGAATTTTCAGATGAAATATATCTATAAAAGCACTGAATTTGGATGTTTTAAGCTGGCATCTTGTGGCTTTTAAAGTAATTATTAGTGACAAGAAGTTCTGACTGTGCACAGTCTGGAAGTTCTCAGTTCCTTTTCCAGCGAATTTAATAATTGAATGTATAATTTTAGAATTTTAAATTTTATAAATTTAGCATTTTTACATTTATATAAATTGATAAATATTATAAATATTATAAATACATTTATAAAAGCACTGAATCTGGATGTTTAAAGCTGTCATCTTGAGGCTTTTAAAGTAATTTTTACTGACAAGAAGTTCTGACTATGCCAAGCCTGGAAGTTCTGACTTCCTTTTTTAGAGAATTTAATAATTGAATTTATAATTTTCTAAATTTAGAATCTATACATTTAGAATTTTTCAGTTGAAATCTATCTATAAAAGCACTGAATTTAGATGTTTAAAGCTGTCAGCTTGTGGCTTTTAAAGTAATTATTAGTGACAAGAAATTCTGACCATGGACAGTCTGGAAATTCTGATTTCCTTTTTGGGAGAATTTAATAATTGAATTTATATTTTTAGAATTTTAATTTTTATAAATTTAGAATTTATACGTTTAGAATTTTCAGATGAAATCTAGCTATAAAATTGCTGAATTTGGATGTTTAAAGCTGTCATCTTGTGGCTTTTAAAGTAATTATTAGTGACAAGAAATTCTGACTGATGGACATGGTGAAAATTCTGACTCTGCACATTCTGGAAATCCTGACTCTGCACATTCTGGAAATTCTGACTTTGCACATTCTGAAGTTCTGACTTTGCACATTCTGAAGTTCTGATTTTACACATTCTGGAAGTTCTGACTGATTCAGTCTGGAAGTTCTGGCTTTGCACAGTCTCAGCCACCTTGTGGCAAGCTTCAAGAGGAAATGTAATTACACTTCCTAATGAACCATTAGAAACGAGTTCATTGCTGTTCCTTGCTACTCATTATGCATAATGGGAACTGGGGGGGGTCACTGAATGACTCCACACAGAAAATTGTCACCTTGGGGAGCTCCAGGGACATTGAGCTCCAGGTGACACCTCTGCCAAGGCCAATGAAGAGTTGACACAACATCAGAGGGAATTTTCTGCCTTCATTCCACTGGCAGGAATGATGGACAGGATTTTTTTCTCTAGTAGATCTATTAAGAGCACTTGGGGTTTTTTTTTCACTTCTAATTTGGATGATGGTAAAAATAATGAGTGTGGATGGATGCTAATTAGAGCTGTGTTGATATGATTATGTTTGCTATTCAGGGAATTCTGGAAATCTTTCCGAAGTGTTGGAGCCAGGGATCCGGACTTCGTTGTGCATTGTTTAAAAATATGGAATAGAAAAAGGAATCAGTTAAAATCAGGGTTGTGAGATAAGATTATCTTGCTGCAGTGGACAGCAGAGAGGTGACACAGCAGGCACAGGGGGTGTAGGAAAGTTTCTTCATGACCTTGACAAGTTACAGGGAAGTTGTGGAATTCCCATCCCTGAAATGTTCCAGGACAGGGCTTGGAGCAACCTGAGCTGGTGGAAAGTTTCCCTGTCCATGGGACAGGATTTGAAGTCCCTTCCCACCAAAACATTCCATAATTTGTGATTCCATGAGTGGCATCAGCACTTGCTGTCAGCCACCCCTGGATCTGCTGCGGGACAGGCAGAAGTCACTGATTAATTTACTGTTAATTAATTAATTTACTGTCCCTCCCACCCAAGCATTCCATAATTCTGTGATTCCATGAGTGGCATCAGCACCTGCTGGCAGCCACCTCTGGATCTGCTGCGGGACAGGCAGAAATTACTGATTAATTTACTGTTAATTGGCAGTTCATTTACTGATTCCTAAGCAGATATCCATGGCTCAGTCTTGTTGGAAGGGGTGCAAAAGGCCCTGAGGGGACAATGGTGGCAACTTTGGTCACCCCACCTGGAAAACTCTGTCCAAAAGTGCAAAACCACCAAGGAACGGATGAGCCACATGTCAGCAATCAAAGTGTGCTTCCTAAACTGATTTTTCTGAGCTTTGCAAGGGGTTGAGGCTGAATTGATTGATCTGCTCACTGCTGGGGTTGTGGCAATGAAATGGTGTTTGCTTTGAGGGCACAACTGAGTTAAAACACTTCCAACCTCGTGCAAGATTTACATTTACAGATTACAGATTTCCCAAAGCACACCACAAACCCGTGCTGATCTGTACATTTACTAATTCATACAGCATTTTATACAGCATTGCCTGTTCCTAAAGCAGCCCATGATGAGTTTCTTTGAGAGGAGCAGCCGTGGCCCAGCCCAGCTCAGCTGTGCTCAATCCCAGTTGCTTTCCTACCTCCAAGGCCCTCACTTCAAAGCCAGGAACATCATGTACAATTTTTTAATGGCTCTAGAAAAAGGCCCTGAGGGGAGCCTTGTGGTGATTATAAAAATTATAAACTATAAATTATAAAAACAATCTTATTCTAACCCAAGCAGGAGTCGACTTTGGTCACCGCACCTGGAAAACTCTCTCCAAAAATGCAAAGACAACAAGGATGTGAACAAACAGATGAGCCACATGTCAGCAGTGAAACTGTGCTTCCTAAACTGATCATTCTGGGGTTTGCAGGGGGTTGAAGCTGAATTGATTGATGTGCTCACTGCTGGGGTTGTGGCAATGAAATGGTGTTTGCTTTGAGGGCACAACTGAGTTAAAACAGCCTCGTTCTGCAAGATTTACATTTACAGATTACAGATTTCCCAAAGCACACCACAAACCCATGCTGATCTGTACATTTACTAACTCATACAGCATTTTATACAGCATCAAGTTCTTTTCTGATTCCTAAAGCAGTCCATGATGAGTTTTCTTTGAGAGGAGCAGCCGTGGCCCAGCCCAGCTCAGCTGTGCTCAATCCCAGTTGCTTTCCTACCTCCAAGGCCCTCACTTCAAAGCCAGGAACATCATGTACAATTTTTTAATGGCTCTAGAAAAAGGCCCTGAGGTCCTGCAGAAGTCACTGATTAATTTACTGTTAATTGGCAGTTCATTTACTGATTCCTAAGCAGATATCCATGGTCCAGTCTTGTTGGAAGGGGTGCAAAAGGCCCTGAGGGGACAATGGTGGCAACTTTGGTCACCCCACCTGGAAAACTCTGTCCAAAAGTGCAAAACCACCAAGGAACGGATGAGCCACATGTCAGCAATCAAAGTGTGCTTCCTAAACTGATTTTTCTGAGCTTTGCAAGGGGTTGAGGCTGAATTTATTGATGTGCTCACTGCTGGGGTTGTGGCAATGAAATGGTGTTTGCTTTGAGGGCACAACTGAGTTAAAACACTTCCAACCTCGTGCAAGATTTACATTTACAGATTTCCCAAAGCACACCACAAACCCGTGCTGATCTGTACATTTACTAATTCATACAGCATTTTATACAGCATTGCCTGTTCCTAAAGCAGCCCATGATGAGTTTCTTTGAGAGGAGCAGCCGTGGCCCAGCCCAGCTCAGCTGTGCTCAATCCCAGTTGCTTTCCTACCTCCAAGGCCCTCACTTCAAAGCCAGGAACATCATGTACAATTTTTTAATGGCTCTAGAAAAAGGCCCTGAGGGGAGCCTTGTGGTGATTATAAAAATTATAAACTATAAATTATAAAAACAATCTTATTCTAACCCAAGCAGGAGTCGACTTTGGTCACCGCACCTGGAAAACTCTCTCCAAAAATGCAAAGACAACAAGGATGTGAACAAACAGATGAGCCACATGTCAGCAGTGAAACTGTGCTTCCTAAACTGATCATTCTGGGGTTTGCAGGGGGTTGAAGCTGAATTGATTGATGTGCTCACTGCTGGGGTTGTGGCAATGAAATGGTGTTTGCTTTGAGGGCACAACTGAGTTAAAACAGCCTCGTTCTGCAAGATTTACATTTACAGATTACAGATTTCCCAAAGCACACCACAGACCCATGCTGATCTGTACATTTACTAATTCATACAGCATTTTATACAGCATTGCCTGTTCCTAAAGCAGCCCATGATGAGTTTCTTTGAGAGGAGCAGCCGTGGCCCAGCCCAGCTCAGCTGTGCTCAATCCCAGTTGCTTTCCTACCTCCAAGGCCCTCACTTCAAAGCCAGGAACATCATGTACAATTTTTTAATGGCTCTAGAAAAAGGCCCTGAGGTCCTGCAGAAGTCACTGATTAATTTACTGTTAATTGGCAGTTCATTTACTGATTCCTAAGCAGATATCCATGGTCCAGTCTTGTTGGAAGGGGTGCAAAAGGCCCTGAGGGGACAATGGTGGCAACTTTGGTCACCCCACCTGGAAAACTCTGTCCAAAAGTGCAAAACCACCAAGGAACGGATGAGCCACATGTCAGCAATCAAAGTGTGCTTCCTAAACTGATTTTTCTGAGCTTTGCAAGGGGTTGAGGCTGAATTTATTGATGTGCTCACTGCTGGGGTTGTGGCAATGAAATGGTGTTTGCTTTGAGGGCACAACTGAGTTAAAACACTTCCAACCTCGTGCAAGATTTACATTTACAGATTTCCCAAAGCACACCACAAACCCGTGCTGATCTGTACATTTACTAATTCATACAGCATTTTATACAGCATTGCCTGTTCCTAAAGCAGCCCATGATGAGTTTCTTTGAGAGGAGCAGCCGTGGCCCAGCCCAGCTCAGCTGTGCTCAATCCCAGTTGCTTTCCTACCTCCAAGGCCCTCACTTCAAAGCCAGGAACATCATGTACAATTTTTTAATGGCTCTAGAGCAAGGCACTCAGACTGTGTGCGCACTGAGCCTTCCCTCGGTGTAAACACCTCATCAAGATTGCCTGGGCTCCAACAATAGCAGCCAAATGCAATTGGAGCAGCTCGAGGCTTTGAAGTCCTCCCCGCAAAGGCTGGTTTGCCAGTCTGGGATAATGACATGCCATGATTGCTGCCTTTGTTGTGTCTTTTCAGTGGAGAAGCAATTATGGGCCTCAATTTAACAGAATAGGCATTACGCAGCTTATGATTCTCAAAATGCAATTTCATTTGATCATTTGCTCGATTTGATTGGTATGAATAGAATGGTTCACAAAAAAAAAAAAAAAAAAAAAGGAAAAAAAGAAGGGAAAAAAATTGCTGGCAGAGGTTGTGTCCTGCTCCTCTTTCAAAGAGATAATGTAGAAGTATGTTTTACCTGCCCAGCACTCCATCCATGCACTCAGTCACTTGGTTCCACCAAAAACATTTTATTCTGTCTGTCCTCAGCTCAGCAAAACCTCCGTGGTACTTTTTAATTTTCTTGTGAATTTTTTTCCAGGGATTTACGTTGAATTTGGAGCCGTGAGATCAACCATAAACTCAGTAATAAACCCTGTCCACCTTTTCCTTCTGCCTTAATCTCTTACCCCCAAAATGAGAGACTCAGCTTCCCACATTTTTTTTCCATTCATGATTTTCATAATATAGTAATTCATAAATATCTTTTATCTTTTGGTCATAAATATCTTCCCATTGTCGCTTCTCCTGTAGGATCACTCTGGGGTGGAGCAGAGATTCCTCTCACAGTGACACTTCCATTAAAATACCCAGCAGGATGGTTTGGGACAAAAAATAGGGACTAAAAATTGGATTTCCAGCAGTTTTGTAGATTAAAAAAAGTTTATTTCAAGAAAAAAATTTAATTATTGCTATATTTACAAGGGGAATTTACTCACCCTTGTGCAGTGATTAAAATTAAAGTTTATTTTTAAAAAAATTAATTATTGCTATATTTATAAGGGGAATTTACTCAGAAAACTTGCTCCAAATAAAATCTTGCTGTGGTTATTTGAGCTCTCCTTGTTTGTGAGCTTGTTTTGGCAGCTCTGTGTATTCCAGACTTTATTCCAGACTTTATTCCCATTATTTTCAGCCCCATTATTGTGTTTTTCCAGATTTTCCTGTGGCACCACTCTGGGATGGAGCAGAGATTCCTCTCACAGTCACACTTCCACTAAAATACCCAGCAGGATGGTTTGGGATACAAAATAGAGACTAAAATTTGGATTTCCTGCAGTTTTGTAGATTAAAAAAAGTTTATTTCAAGAAAAAAAAATCAAATATTGCTATATTTACAAGGGGAATGTACTCATCTTTATGGAGTGATTTTAAAGAGTTTATTTCAAGAAAAAATCAATTCTTGCTATATTTACAGGGGGAATTTACTCAGATTTGTGCAGCGATTAAAAAAAGTTTATATCAAGAAAAATATTAATTATTGCCATATTTACAAGGGGAATTTACTCATCTTTGTGCAGTGGTTAAAATTAAAGTTTATTTTAAAAAAGATTTAATTATTGCTATATTTACAAGGGGAATTTACTCACCTTTGTGCAGCGATTAAAAAAAGTTTATTTCAAGAAAAATACTCATTATTGCTATATAAACAAGGGGAATTTACTCAGAAAACTTGCTCCAAATAAAAACTCGCTGTGGTTGTTGGAGCTCTCCTTGTTTTGGCAGCTCTGTGAATTCCAGATTTCATTCCTGCAGCTCCCCCATTCTTTTCAGCCCCATTATTGTGTTTTTCCAGCTTTTCCTGCAATCTCTCTTGCTGGGTGTGTGATTGCCTGGCCAGGGATGGTTTTTTGCTGATTTTCTGTTATTAGGTGCATTTCCTCCATGGAAATGGAGCAGCTCAGACATTGGAGAGTTTCTGTGCTGCACAATTTTCCTTCCTTTTATTCCTCTTAAAACTACAAGGAGCCATCCCTGCCTTTAATTGGGTTTTGCTTCTTTTTTTTTTTCCTTTAACCGTTTCCTTGTCATCCATCCCATCATGGAAAATTTAATTTTAATTTTAATTTCAATAGGCCACAAATTTTTCTTATTATTTCCTCAAGATTTTAAGATTTTTCCCCTTAATTGCTGTGACCATGAACGTTCCTGGTTTTTAGGTCCCAGATCCTCCACCAGCTGTTGAAGAACCATTCCAGAATGTTCCAGCATCCCAAACTGGGAAAATGAAGCCTGAAGAGAAATGGTACCCAAAAGGACAGCAGCTCAAGGTTCCTTTTTCAGAGAATTTAATCATTGAATTTATAATTTTATAATTTCAATTTTTTTTTTAAATTTAGAATTTATACATTTAGAATTTTTCAGTTGAAGTATCTATAAAATATCTCTAAAAGCCTATCCATGATATATCTAAAAAATAGCTAAAAAATATCTAAAAAATATATAAAAAATATATAAAAAATATCTTAAAAATATCTATAATCAGTTGGAATATAGCTATAAAAGCACTGAATTTGAATGTTTACAGCTGTCATCTTGTGGCTTTTAAAGTAATTATTACTGGCAAGAAATCCTTAAATATCTATCAATAGATAAGCACTGTAATTTAATGTATGTGTGCTTTATGTACTAAATAAATTTAAAGCAAAATGCCAGGAAATTCTGAGCTCACAGGATGTATTTGGGAGATGATTTGATAATTTAAATTATCTAGATTATTATTATAAACTAGTACATGGTCCTGTTTGGTGGTTTGGGAAATTCTGAGCCAGAACTTCACCATTTCTGCCCGATTTGTCCCCTAAAATTAAGGGGGAGTGAATTAAATGCCATAAACTAGAAAATATCATGTATAATAATTTTATCATTTATATAATACAATTGTATTTGTATATTTTATAATTTTTTTATCATTTATATAATGGAAGGTTATTTATATAATTGGCATCAGGCTGTTCTACATGGCCCAGTCTGACAGTGTGTACAAAGCCATTTTTCCCCAAAATTTGGCACACAAAAATCAAGAACTGATTTGATTTTTAGATCATTTTTTCCAAGTGGTTGACAGAGAGCTCTGGGTTATCCACAGGGTTCGATCTGGGCGCTTTAGGGCACCATTTTTGCACCTCTTGCAGATAAAATCCACATTTACCACACCTGGTTTGCATCTGCAAGGACCAGAATTTGGTCTCAGACCTTTGGGGAAATGTTTGATGCAGAATTATTCATTGAGCAGCACCTGAACAACATCTCTGCTCTGTTCTGCGCTGAGGGGTCCTTTCAATTTGAATTTTTGGGCTCCTTTCAATTTGAATTTTTGGGCTCCTTTCAATTTGAATTTTTGGGTTCCTTTGAATTTGTATTTTGGGTTCCTTTAAATTTCAATTTCTGGACTATAAAGAGAGTTCCTTTAAATTTGAATTTCTGCACTATAAAGAGAGTTCCTTTAAATTTGAATTCTGGACTATAAAGAGGGTTCCTTTAAATTTGAATTTCTGGAGAATTATTCATTGAGCAGTGCCTGAATAACATCTCTGCTCTGTTCTGGACTGAGGGGTCCTTTAAATTTGAATTTTGGGTTCCTTTCAATTTGAATTTCTGCACTATAAAGAGAGTTCCTTTAAATTTCAATTTCTGGACTACAAAGAGGGTTCCTTTAAATTTGAATTTTTGGCTTCCTTTCAATTTGAATTTTTGGACTATACAGAGGGTTCCTTTAAATTTGAATTTCTGGGTTCCTTTCAATTTCAATTTTGGGTTGAATCCAAAATCCTGAGGGTGACCATGATCAGGGTCAGACCCCAGCAGCTCAGAGGGATTCTGATGCGAGTGACGGAATTTCCACCTGAATATCTCAGATGCAGCTGTTGGTGACTCGTTTCAGGAGCAGCTCAGGTTCTTGCAGGGACAAAAAGCAGAATCCAAGCAGCCTCTCAGGTTTGCATCTGCAAGGACCTGATTTTATAGTCCAGTGCTGCAGAACTTGCCTCAGGCCATCAAGGAAATGTTTGATGCAGAATTATTCATTGCGCAGCACCTGAACAACATCTCTGCTCTGTTCTGGACTGAGGGGTCCTTTAAATTTGAATTTTTGGGTTCCTTTAAATTTGAATTTCTGGACTATAAAGAGGGTTCCTTTACATTTCAATTTCTGGGTTCCTTTAAATTTGAATTTTTGGGTTAATTTTAATTTCTGGACTATAAAGAGGGTTCCTTTACATTTCAATTTCTGGGTTCCTTTAAATTTGAATTTTTGGCTTCCTTTCAATTTGAATTTCTGGACTATAAAGAGGGTTCCTTTCAATTTGAATTTTGGGTTGAACCCACCATGATCAGGGTCAGATCCCAGCAGCTCAGAGGGATTCTGATGCGAGTGACGGAATTTCCACCTGAATGTCTCAGATGCAGCTGTTGGTGACTATTTCAGGAGCAGCCCCGGCCCCTGCAGAGGCACCGAGCAGAGCCCAGGCCCCCTCTGGGTGGCAGAGCCTTCCCCAGGAGCGCTGGCCGGGATCCCCCGGGAGCAGCAGGAGCCGCCAATGCCCGGGCGCAGAGGCAGCAGCAGCCCCCGGGACCCCAGGCTGTGCCCCCTGCCCTGGGGCGGGACCCCAGCCCGGCCCTCGCCCCAAATTCTTCTCTTGGCCCAGCAGAAAAACCCCAAAGCGGCTTAAACAACGCCCCAAATCCAATCCTTGCCACGCCTGGCTGTTTCCTCCCGATATTCCAGAATTTTTACCCACCAGAGGTTTTAAATCCTGAATATCCCGGCCAGGAGGACAAGAAACACCAGCAGGACTCTGCAGCTGGAATTCCACAGCTGGAATTCCCAACCAATCCCATCCCTGGGCAGGATTTTTCCTGGAATAGCAGCAGCAGTGACCAGGCTCATCCGGAACTGGAGAATATTCCAGCTGATTTTAATGCCATTTTTCAAGAAAAAGTGAAGGACCAAGCAGCGCTTCCAGATTTCCAAAATCACATTCATGAGGATTGCAGGTATCAGAAGAGTTTGTGGTAAGGATTTAAATGGTAAAATAATATTGTCATAACCCTGTGATGCCCAGAAAATAAACAAAAAAATGTTAAAACTTTATTTTATAAAACTTAAAAAAAAACTTTTTAAAACTTTTCCACTCTAAAACTTCCTTCCTTCCTTGTTTATATTTTGTTTAAACTCCGAAGGATAAACTTATTTTGCTACCAACCTGCCATTATAATTTATTACTAATTGAAGATTCATTATAGATACTGATTTTTAAATATGGCTTTGGAAAAGGACAGCTCTGTCCTCCAGGAATGGAAATTTCCACAATTAAAATTTCCTTGTAGGAGGCTGGGTGGGAAAGTTTAAAATACAGATAGGAAAGGGAATTTTGCATAAATTTAGAGTTTGTAGGAAAATTGGCTTTGCCGGGTGGATATTCAGGATCAGTTCTGTCCCTAAAAGAGAGAGTAGGAAAATTCTCAATTATATAGAATTTCACTGTCTTGATTTTAAAAAAATGAAGGTTTTATTTCACATAAACAAATAATTCTATCAATATTCAGCAGGCCTGATCCAAAGCTTTTCATTTGCTTTAATCGCCTTTGCACCAGGCTGAAATTTCCCTATTTTTGGGGTTTTTTCCATTTATTTCCACACACTTGGGTGCAAGCAAAATCATTTATTGTGAAATCCTCACCTTCCCATCTCCCTGCTCCCTCACTCCATGTCCAGGTTGTTTGCTGTGTGTAAATTCAGATTTTTGCTCTTTCCCCCTCATTTTTTAAGGCCTTTTTATCATGTTTTGCTCACAGCTCACCGACATCTGCTTGCAGAATCTCCCATTTCGTAGAAAAGAAGGAAAAGCCACGATTTTCTGATTTTGAAGATGCTTTTGCTGGCACGTGGCTGTGGGGTTTGTTCCCGCCTGCCCTGCCCCGGGGAGACTCAGGAAAAGCTGAAGGAAACCCAAGGAAAATGAGAAGGAGCAGCTCAGAGGGGTCTCTCCTACAAAGGGAAAAGCAAAACCAGCCCAAAATCAGCAAAAAGGTGAGGAAGTAAATGTGGGTTGGGTGAAATTTCTATTTCCACTCTAACATTTCTTCTTAATAATCCAAAGTTTAAAAAAAATACAAATAGGGACTGAGAAATGTTGTAAAACGAACAGCAGAGCATTAAAAATCATGGAACAAAGGGAGAAATAGACACTGAAATCATTTTAGAGCAAAGGGATCAGAGAATCCACTGAAATTTTAGTTCATTTTTTTCACTGAAATAGTTTTAGAGCAAAGAGATCCACCTGGATCAGAGTTCAGTGAGATTATTTTATTTGAAAAAAGCAAGTTCATTTGGTTCAGTGAAATCATTTTAGAGCAAGGGGATCCACCTGGATCAGAGAATTCACTGAAATTTTATTTCCTTTGGTTCACTGAAATCATTTTATTTCATTTGGTTCTCTGAAATCATTTTTGAGCAAGGGGATCTGCCTGGAGCAGAGAGTTCACTGAAATTTTAGTTCTTTTGGTTCACTGAAATAATTTTAGTTCATTTGGCCCACTGAAGTCATTTTAGAGCAAAGGGATCCACCTGGATCAGAGTTCACTGAAATTATTTCATTTTAAAAAAGCAGGTTCATTTGGTTCACTGAAATCATTTTAGAACAAAGGGATCAGAGAATTCACTGAAATAATTTTAGTTCATTTAGTTCACTGAAATCATTTTAGAGCAAAGGGATCAGAGAATTCACTGAAATTTTATTCATTTTTTTTCACTGAAATCATTTTAGAGCAAGGGGATCCACCTGGATCAGAGAGTTCAGTGAGATTATTTTATTTGAACAAAGCAAGTTCATTTTATTCACTGAAATCATTTTAGAGCAAAGGGATCCACCTGGAGCAGAGAGTTCACTGAAATTTTAGTTCTTTTGGTTCACTGAAATCATTTTAGTTCAATTGGTTCACTGAAATAATTTTAGAGCAAAGAGATCAGAGGGTTCACTGAAATTTTAGTTCATTTGGTTCATTGAAATCATTTTAGAGCAAAGGGATCCACCTGGATCAGAGAATTCACTGAAATCATTTTAGTTCAATTGATTCACTGAAATAATTTTAGAGCAAAGGTATCTGAGAGTTCACTGAAATTTTAGTTCATTTTTTTCACTGAAACCATTTTAGAGCAAGGGGATCCACCTGGATCAGAGAGTTCAGTGAGATTATTTTATTTGAACAAAGCAAGTTCATTTTATTCACTGAAATCATTTTAGAGCAAAGGGATCCACCTGGATCAGAGAATTCACTGAAATTTTAGTTCTTTTGGTTCACTGAAATCATTTTGGCTCTTTTGGTTCACTGAAATAATTTTAGTTCATTTTTTTCACTGAAATCCTTTTAGAGCAAAGGGATCCACCTGCAGCAGAGAGTTCACTGAAATTTTAGTTCATTTGGTTCACTGAAACCATTTTAGAGCAAAAGGATCCACCTGGATCAGAGAATTCACTGAAATCATTTTAGTTCAATTGATTCACTGAAATAATTTTAGAGCAAAGGTATCTGAGAGTTCACTGAAATTTTAGTTCATTTTTTTCACTGAAACCATTTTAGAGCAAAGGGATCCACCTGGATCAGAGAATTCACTGAAATTTTAGTTCTTTTGGTTCACTGAAATCATTTTGGCTCTTTTGGTTCACTGAAATAATTTTAGTTCATTTTTTTCACTGAAATCCTTTTAGAGCAAAGGGATCCACCTGGATCATAGAATTCACTGAAATTTTAATTCATTTGGTTCACTGAAATAATTTTGGAGCAAAGGGATCCACCTGCAGCAGAGAGTTCACTGAAATTTTAGTTCTTTTGGCTCACTGAAATCGTTTTAGTTCATTTTTTTCACTGAAATCATTTTAGAGCGAAGGGATCAGTGTGGCTGAGTGCAGGGACGCACAGAGCAGTGTTTGTCCCGTCGTTTATCACAGATAAAATGATTCTCATCGGACAGGGTCGGGCAGTTTGTGAGCAATAGATTATTTCTGCTTTTGAGCAGGCAGCCTCAGATCTGAGCCGTCCATTATCCTGCTCACGCTCCTTTCTTGTCCTGCTCAAATCTCCTGCTTTCCAAGGGATTCCAACCCAAATCTGGAGGATTTGTAAAGCCAACAGCACAAACCTCATCCCTGATGCTCCTCATTAAAATCTGAATTTCTGTCTCCTCTGCAAGCCCGCTCCATCCTGGTGTCACCATTAGGCTGCCCATGACAAATTAAATGTTTGAGGAGTTTTCTCCAGCTCTCAGGGCAGACAGACTAAGCTGGAATTATGATTTCCTGCACTCTGGGTGTTGCTGCCTGAGTGCCCCTAAGAAGAATTAGGATTATGGTGGGAGCTGGAGGGCAGAGCTCCTTCTCTCCCCTTTGTTTCTTGTCCCTGCTTGCAGCAGATTTCTCACGCTCCGCATGTGGGGAATGCACAGAGGATCACTCTGGTTCTGCTCCCAGGAAAATCCGGTTTTTCCTCATAAACAAATGCACTCATTGCAGCAAGAGGGGAACCCTGATTTTGTGGGACACAGAGAAATTAAATCCTCACTGTACCCCAAATTAAAAATTAGCGAGTTATAGCAGGTGAGAGCAGGGGTTGCTGACACAAAGAAACCTCAAATAGGAAATTCAGTGCATAAAATCAAATTTTCTGCAGTTGAGTTTAACTTGAACTTGTGCTTTGTAGAAATGCCCATTTTATTTCCATTGCTGTTCCTGCATTACTCTGTGGTGGAAATCACCACAGAGCTGATCATAATGAGCTTCACTGACAAGTGTTTACACATAATTCCCTTCTAAAAATGTGGTCTTGAAAGAGAATAAAAATATTATGGGGGCATTGGAGTCTTTGTGTGATGTCCAAAATACTGGATGGCATCAGCCACCACTCCTGCACTTGTAAAGCCTTTGCTGTGCAGCAGAAATGGATTTTTCAGCTCTCTGTGGCAACTTTCCAGTGCAGATTTCAGAACAAGGAAAGGTTTTTCTCACCAACATCATTTGTCTGATTTTTGCCACCAAAGTCAGTAATTTTATCTGCTTCTCTCACAAAAAATTTCTTTGGAGTCTCATTCTAACCACAGTCAAATGAGTGGCTTTAAGCCGTTTCACAATAAAGGTAATTTTTGATTGAGAAAATATCACTTTGTGATTGGGAAAATTGGCAATTTCCCACTTAGATCCAAAGGAAATTCTGTTGTCATTTGACTTTTGCCATAACTCAGTCCTGTTGGTCACTTATTTAAAATGAGACATGCCAGGGGTGGGGCTGAGATTGCAAATTAAACCCTGAGGTTTCCACTATAAAAATTCCTTGAATTATTCCCTCTGTAAAATCATATCAAGGAAAATCTGTTTGCTGTTTGGTTTTCAGCTGGGCAGCTCCAAATTCTACTTCAATCAGAGTATGAAGCTTGGAGGCCTTGGACCTGACTATGAAACAATCAAAGAGAAAGTGAGTAAACCAAAAGTGGATTTGGGCAGGGAAATCATAATTTACAATTATCTGGGACTTTATATCCCTGGCTTGAGAGAAATATCCTCGGAATAAGTGAATCAACCAAAAGGGGATTTAGGCAGGGCAAAGAAATCATAATTTACAATTATCTGGGACTTTATACCCTTGGTTTGAGAGAGATATCATTGGAAAAAGTGAGTAAACCAAAACTGGATTTAGGCAGGGCAAAGAAATCATAATTCACAATTATCTGGGACTTTATACCCTTGGTTTGAGAGAGATATCATTGGAAAAAGTGAGTAAACCAAAACTGGATTTAGGCAGGGAAAAGTGGCAGAGAAATCATAATTTATGATATGATATCATATTTATTACATGATATTTATGATATCATATTTATGATATGATGAGTCTGGGACTTTATATCCTTGGCTTGGGAGAGATATCCTTGGAGAAAGTGAGTAAACCAAAACTGGATTTAGGCAGGGGAGAGAAATCATAATTTAGGATTATCTGGGACTTTATATCCTTGGTTTGAGAGAAATATCCTCGGAATAAGTGAATCAACCAAAAGGGGATTTAGGCAGGGCAAAGAAATCATAATTTATGATTATCTGGGACTTTATATCCTTGGTTTGAGAGAAATATCCTTGGAGAAAGTGAGTAAACCAAAACTGGATTTAGGCAGGGAAAACTGGCAGAGAAATCATAATTTATGATATGATATCATATTTATTATATGATATTTATGATATCATATTTATGATATGATGAGTCTGGGACTTTATATCCTTGGCTTGGGAGAGATATCCTTGGAGAAAGTGAGTAAACCAAAAGGGGATTTAGGCAGGGCAGAGAAATCATCAATTATGATTATCTGGGACTTTATATCCTTGGCTTGGGAGAAATATCCTTGGAAAAAGTGAATCAACCAAAAGGGGATTTAGGCAGGGAAATCATAATTTATGATTATCAGGGACTTTATATCCTTGGCTTGAGAGAGATATCCTTGGAGAAAGTGAGTAAACCAAAACTGGATTTAGGCAGGGAAAAGTGGCAGAGAAATCATAATTTATGATATGATATCATATTTATTACATTATATTTATGATATCATATTTATGATATGATGAGTCTGGGACTTTATATCCTTGGCTTGGGAGAGATATCCTTGGAGAAAGTGAGTAAACCAAAACTGGATTTGGACAGGGGAGAGAAATCATAATTTAGGATTATCTGGGACTTTATATCCTTGGCTTGAAATAGTGAGAAAGTGAGTAAACCAAAACTGGATTTAGACAGGGGAGAGTGGCAGAGAAATCATAATTTACAATTATCTGTGACTTTATATCTTTGTCTAGCTGGAGATCTACAGGAAAATTCAACTAAAAGCAAAGACAGCTGTCCTGGGGATAATTTTAACCCTCTCATTTTTAAAATCCAGAAATAGGAATCAATCAGGGCTAATTGCACATCAGGAAATGACCCACTCAAGTGGCTGAGTTGTCATTGCCAGTGTAAAGATCCACCAAACGTTCCAAGTGGAAATCAAAGTTGTGTAAAAACAAAACTATCTGGCTGCACTCTGGTGAAATGGAGACAGATTGTTCAGGACAGAATGAAGATGGAGCTGTCACATTTCTGCTCAGCTCTATCCTATATTCAGTCCAGGGAAAAGCTCTTAAAAGGGAAAAGCAACTAAATAAAAAAAAGCTGTGCCATTTACCAGGGCTTCCTGTTGTGTGCTGAGGAGGGATCAATGGCAAAGGCAGGTTGGACAGCAGCAGAGGTGGAAATGGAATATTGGTGGGAAAAGGTTTTCATTGATGGATCTCCCCAGCCAGTGAATTCCAGGCCCTTTTTTCTGCTTTTTCTCAGAAAGAAAAGATGAAGCTGCAGAAGGAATATTCCAGGCAAATTAAGGAATATAACATGAGGAATATCACTGTGGTTCAGAGGCTGCCTGCAAAGCCCCAGGTGCCCTCAGTGTCCAGGCAGAAGGTGAGAGCTGAGTCCTGAGGGTGACAAGGAAACACTGCAGGACAAAGCTGGGAACTCAATAATATCAAAATTCCTCAGTTCCTTGCATTTATTCCCAAAAATAAACCGCTATTTATTGTTTGGGTGGCCAAAAGGGCTTTGCCTGCAAAGGCCCAGGTGGATTCAGTGTCCAAGCAGAAGGTGAGAGCTGAGTCCCCTCCAGGGTGTTCCTGAGGGGGACAAGTGAGCACTGCCAGCTCCAGGACAAAGCTGTGAACACAATAATATCAGAATTTCTTGGTTCCTTGCAGTTATTCCCAAAAATAAACCACTAAGAGACAAAACTTTATTGTTTGGGTGGCCAAAAGGGGTTTGCCTGCAAAGCCCCAGGTGTCTTCAGGCAGAAGGTGAGAGCTGAGTCCTTTCCAGGATGCTCCTGAGGGGGACAAGTGACTGCAGGCTCCAGAACAAAGCTCTGAACTCAATAATATCAGAATTCCTCAGTTCCTTGCAGTTATTCCCAAAATTAAACCACTAAGACACAAAACTTCATTGTTTGGGTGGCAAAAAAGGGGTTTGGATTCTTTTAGGGGCTTCACCAGGACCAGGAGATAATGCACTGGGGACATGAGGTGTTCCCAAATCCCTGCAGCACACAGGCACCAAAACCCACCCCAGATTAAACCAGGGCTCTGCCAGCTCCAGCATTTCTGTAAAACTCTTTCCATTCCCTCTCCAATTCCATGTCCCAGGCATCATTTTGCTTTTTAATTTGGATTATAAAGTGCATTATGCAGGAGAACCTGAGCTTGTCCTGTTGACCTGCAGAGCTCCCTGCCTGAGGGCAAGACCCTAATGAGACTGGGAAAAAATGTTTATAAATGTAATAAATTCATGTTGCTCTTTATTTTTTACAATAAAAACACTTCCTCAGTGTCTAAGGCGGCTTCTAATGGTGGCAGGAAGCAAATCTTGGGCTGGGTTGTGTTGCAGTCACCACTGAAGAATCTGGGATTGAATTCTGTCAGAAACAAGCTCAGGAATTCAGAGATATCTTACTCATCTTCTAAATGTTTTTAGGAAATCTTGGCCAGGTTTTCTCCTGCTCATTTCCCCCAGTTTTTCCTGCTTTCAGGCTCTGGAATACGCCAAGAAGATCCCAAGGCCGAAGATTTTGATAGCGAAGCAATCGGAGCAGGAGGGGAAGGAGGTTCTGGCCCAGGCTCCAGCTGGACCCAGGTTCCCCAAAATCCCATCTCTGGAATCCCTGTGGAGCAGGCACGAGAAGGAGAAGGAGGCCGTGGCTGCTTTTGAAGCCCTTCACATCTTGTAGGTATTTGGGGAATCTCAGGGATCGAGGCAAAAATGCCTGAATTGTTTTTATTTTCACCTGTGACCATCACATCTTCATTTCCCTGTCCGCTGAAATTTAACTGGTTTAATTTTAATTATTTTTAAGTGTTAGAGTTGGTTTTAATTGTTCTACTTTGTACCTGTTTTGTTAATAAATTGACCTTTTGCATTTATAGCATTGTAAATACAGCGCTCAGTTCTTTTATTAGAAAATGTTTTATTAGAAATTTAGTCCTCTGTTCTTTTTCTTTGAAATAAATGATCTGAAAATTGCATCTTTTAGACCAATCAGCTCTTGGTTGTCACAGCTGGATCATTTTTAAACATATAAGCAGGAAAATGTATCTACAAAACATTAAAAATAAACTTCCGTTTGATCTGATGACCTTAACACCAGCAATATTTCTTTTTCTGAAGTGCAGAAGAGACTTTTGGCCAGAAATAAAAGCAAAAATAATTCATTGCTGCTAAAAAAGAGAACAAAAATATACTCCAAACACAGCAGGGTGTAATAACACAATGCTAATTATTTAATTGTTACTCTGTTGTCTCTTAGTGAAGAGTTTCTACAATAAAAACAAAATTTTGAAGCTTCATTTGGGACAAGAAAATTCCAAACAAGCCCTGGCTGAGCATGCAGACAATCTGGGATTAGCCAGGAGCAGTTGGAGCATATATTGGGTAACTGAGGATAATTGAGAGCTGCATGTTTGAGAGGAAACAGCTTTTAACAGATTAGGGCTGTAAAAATAACAACAAACAGATGGGTTTCTTAGGGCGCTGCCATTTCTTTAACTTAGCAAATTATGAATTAAGTCACCATATGAAATGTGATTAGAGCACACAGCGAGGGAATTCGGGCTAAAACCTCCTGAAAAGAGGCTGGATAAAGGAAAAAAAAAAAAACAAACACCTTGTGATGGTGTGGAATTGCTTTATCCTATTTATTTGGTCTCTTTTTTATGGGGGCTCCCAATTTAATTTGGGGAAAAGTGATTCCAATTCTGCCCTTCCTCATGGCCTTGTTTAAACCCTCCTGATGAGCAGGAACTTGGACTCACAGCTGGAATTTCAGGACATTTTTGGGAACATTGAGACAAACCCCAATCACTTTGTAATGATGTGGAATTGCTTTATCCCATTTATTTGGTCTTTTTTTAATGGTGGCTGCCAATTTAATCTGGGGAAAAGAAATTCCAATTCTGCCCTTCCTCATGGAGAAGGGACCTAGTCTTGCTTCCAACCCTCCTGATGAATCAGCCTCTTGGACTCACAGCTGGAAGTTCAGGACATTTTGGAGAATATTGAGACAAACCCAACCACCTTTTGATGATGTAAAATTGCTTTATCCCATTTATTTGATCTCTTTTTAATGGGAGATCCCAATTTAATATGGGGAAAATTGATTCCAATTCTGCCCATCCTCACGGCCTTACTTCAAACCCTCCTGATGAGCAGGAATTTGTGGAATCAGCCCCTTGGACCCACAGGTGGACGTTCAGGACCTATTTTTAGGAATATTGAGACAAACCCAACTACTTTGTGATGATGTGGAATTGCTTTATCCCATTTATTTGGTCTTTTTTTAATGGGGCCTCACAATTTAATTTGGAGAAAAGTGATCCCCACCCTGCCCTTCCTCACAGAGAAGGGACCTGGCCTTGCTTCAAACCCTCCTGTGAATCAGCCCCTTGGACTCACAGCTGGAATTTCAGGACATTTTTAGGAATATTGAGACAAACCCAACCACCTTGTGATGATGTGGAATTGCTTTATCCCATTTATTGGGTGTCTGTTTTATGGGGGCTCCCAATTTAATATGAAGAAAAATCATTCCAATTCTGCCCTTCCTCATGGCCTTGTTTAAAGCCTCCTGATGAACAGGAATTTGTTGAACCAGCCCCTTGGACTCACAGCTGGAAGTTCACATTTTTAGGAATATTGAGACAACCACCTTGTGATTATGTGGAATTGCTTTATCCCATTTATTTGGTTTCTTTTTAATGGGAGCTCCCAATTTAATTTAGGGCAAAGCAATCCCAATTCTGCCCTTCCTCATGGCCTTTCTTCAAACCCTCCTAATGAGCAGGAATTTGTTGTATCTGCCCCTTGGACTCACAGCTGGAAGTTCAGGACATTTTGGGGAATATTGAGAAATGTTAAGAATATTTTGGGAAGCCTTGGTGGAAGAACCATTGTCCAATATGGGGCCACAGGTCAGGCTGCAGGGGAAATGTTTTCCATGACATTTTTGTCATCCAATTCCATCTTCTGGACAGAACCTTCCTCTTCCTCAGCCTCTTTCCCCTCTCCTTTGGGCACTGCCAGCCTGGGAAATGTTTCCATGCTCTTCTTTCCTACTTTTTTTTATTTTTAATCCAAACCGTAACACTTTGAAGCATTTCTGCTCTGGGCACCTCAACTTGTTGTTCCTGCTTAAAAGTGATAATCCCCCCTTAATCCAAACCTCAAGTGCCTGTTTTAATGAAACCTTCAGATGAATATCAAAGAGCTATTTACTCGTATCTAATATTTTAATTAGATTATATTCTCAATTTAACCCATTAAACCCCCTTTGATGAGCTCCATGTTCAGTGTTTAGCCCCAGATGCTGGAGGTAATGAATATTGGACCTTTGATTTAATGAGAATTTCTGCCTTTCCAGCCTGACTCCCTTTGTATCCCCTTTTTTTTTTTTTTTTTTTTTGCTTTTCTGGCCTATAGAATTCATTTAATTGAAGAAGTCTCTTATCAGCACACATTAAGGAACCTAAATTAGCATCCCTTTTCTGATGAGAAAATGCAAGCAGACATTTTCTCTTTGATCTGAGGGCTCAGTTGAAGTAGGCAGCAGCCCCCGGAAAATGAGCTGATGGCTGCATTATTTGTGTGCCATGCAGATGTGTCCATGTGGTGCAAAATGCTTAATGTCTTAATTGATCGCCTTCCTCCCTGGCTCCATCCTCCTCCTCTCAGAAATTAACCCAGAAATCTGTTCATTTAGTGGTTTTTTTAAAATAAAATAATGAATTTTTAGGAAATATTTAAATATTGAAGCTGTGCGAAAGTTGGATGTGATGCTGCAGCTGGAGGAGCGCATTTTAAAAATATTTTTATCATTATTTTAACAACCACTTATTTTTTATAACACTGCTTATGATCATCTCACAAACCATTTAGAAATTCTGGTGGTTTGGGTGTTTAAAATCCCACAAAATGACATTTTTACATGGAAAGAAAAAATTTTAACCTAACTCAATACAAATTCAGATTTTCCCTGCACTTCACAGATATGGTGGCACAAAAATAAGAGGCCAATGAGCATCCAGCTGCTTAAAGTCAAAGGCCAAAATTTAATGTATTTCAGATTAGGAAGGCAAGATATTTAATTAAAATCCAGCCTTAAATGTTGAATTAATTATGAATTAATTATTGAGGGAGGAATCTGTGTGCAGCACCCAATGGAAATTCCCAGTATTTTCTTGGCAACACCTTTCCAGTGCCATCGTTTCTCAATATTTGAGGTTCTGGAAGTGTTGCAGCTGAGCTCACCTTCAGTGGGCCAAGCCTTGGTGTCAGTTCTACCTAAAAAATGTTCCTGTAATTAAATCCCCATTGCATTTCTTCCAAAAATAACCAAAGTTGGTTTCCCAGCCCCTCACAAAAGGCATGAGCATGTTGATGGCACCATCAAGAACATTAATTTAATCATTAAATGCATTAAACAAGGTAAAACCTCACAGCCACCATTCCAGCTGTAAAAATGAGATGAGGAATGAAACCAGATGAGGTTTTGCCCAAGTCCTGCAGTCCCTGGATGCTTCAGACAGCCACCAAGGAGCTCTGCTGTCACAAACTTGATTGCTGCTATTTCCTCCCAGAGAGGAAATAGCCAAAAAAATCCTTTTTTTTCCCCTAAATTTTGATTCATGTTAAACCAATGAAATGCAGGGTTTACCTCTGATTTAGACTGTGCTTTGTTTTTCCCTCACATCACTCCTGTATCTAATACAAAAAAAAAAAAAAATTCCATGTGAGAAAAAGCAGGAATGTGGAGAAAGGAGCAGCAGCTCTGGTGTGAGGAGGAGGAATGGCTTCAATGGTTTCTGGAATGGTTTCAGTGGTTTCTGGAATCGTGTCAGTGGTTTCAGGAATGGTGTCAGTGGTTTCAGAGGTTTCAGGAATGGTTTCATTGATTTCAGAGGTTTCAGTGGTTTCAGGAATGGTGTCAGTGGTTTCAGAGGTTTCAGGGATGGTTTCAGAAATTATTTCAGTGGTTTCAGGAGTGGTTTCTGTAGTTTCTGGAATGGTTTCAGTGATTTCAGTGATTCCAGGAATGGTGTCAGTGGTTTCAGGAATGGTTTCAATGGTTTCTGGAATGGTTTCAGGAATGGTTTCGGGAATGGTGTCAGTGTTTTCAGGAATGGTTTCAGTGGTTTCTGGAATGGTTTCGGGAATGGTTTCGGGAATGGTGTCAGTGTTTTCAGGAATGGTTTCAGTGATTTCTGGAATGGTTTCAGGAATGGTTTCAGGAATGGTTTCAGGAATGGTTTCAGTGTTTTCAGGAATGGTTCCAGTGATTTCTGGAATGGTTTCAGTGGTTTCTGGAATGGTTTCAGGAATGGTTTCAGGAATGGTTTCAGGAATGGTTTCAGTGATTCCAGGAATGGTGTCAGTGGTTTCTGGAATGGTTTCAGGAATGGTTTCAGTGATTTCAGTGATTTCAGTGGTTCCTGGAATGGTTTCAGTGTTTTCAGGAATTGTTTTAGGAATGGTTTCAATGGTTTCTGGAATGGTTTCAGTGGTTTCTGGAATGGTTTCAGGAATGGTTTCAGGAATGGTTTCAGGAATGGTTTCAGTGATTCCAGGAATGGTGTCAGTGGTTTCTGGAATGGTTTCAGGAATGGTTTCAGTGATTTCAGTGATTTCAGTGGTTCCTGGAATGGTTTCAGTGTTTTCAGGAATTGTTTTAGGAATGGTTTCAATGGTTTCTGGAATGGCTTCAGTGCTTTCCTGCAGTGGTTTCAGGAATGGTTTCAATGGTTTCTGGAATGGTTTCAGTGATTTCAGTTGTTACTGGAATGGTTTCAGTGGTTCAAGAGGTTTCAGGAATGGTTTCAGTGGTTTCTGGAATGGTTTCAGTGGT